AGGGCTGGGCAGATTAGAAAACCGAGACCATAATGATACCAATTGTCTGATTGGGCTAGAGTTACAAGTTTGTGACCGTCAATAATTGTTTCCTCGAAGTCTCGGCATTTTGTCTCTTGGAGACACACTACATCAAAATGATAACGTTTAGCGTCACTTACTAAATGTTCTCTCCTAAGAATGTTACCTTTAATACCATTGAGGTTCCAACTTGAAATGTTCAGAGTCGAAGACATCGGCATAAGGAGAAGTAAGGTGAGCAAAGGTAGACTTCTAGCGAGCACGTATGTTACAACTGCCATTCTGCTAGCGGGGGGCGTCACTCCATTCCATCCTGAGTATTAGAATAAATAATTTATATTTCCTTATGTTTAGTAGAGCTCAAGCTACTTAAACAAAAACAAATACCTCAGTCAGGCCTGATAGCTCCATTACAAAAGTGACAGTCGACGCAAATGTTAACGAATATCGTAGCTTAATACTAAAAACTAAACTTTCAAATTCCCATTTCTATAATTCCTTGTAACGGAATAGCAGGTTTCTTATTCTCACGCGGAAGATGGCTCGTCGTCTACTCAAACAGTATTTATCGTATCATCTTTGCAAACTCGCATATTTCTTTTGACCACCCACAAGTATGATAGTGGGTATGAACGGGGAGTGGGGATTGGGGAGGAGAGAGGGGCTGTTTATATTAGCTATGGTGGTCGGAGCCTCATAAGTCACAATTTAGTGTCCCTGTTCTGACACAGTTTTTGTAGTTCTGACGCCGATATATTCACAAAATTTAGATAAAATATCTAAACTAATGCGCTGTACAAAATAATACGCTGGAGAATTTAATCAATAATTTTGTAATCACTATACAAACCACTTCTAATCTATTGTCGATAGTAATAGTGGAATAATTTCGACTGACAACTCTGCCAAATCTTGGTTCATGTTGTGCCTCACCACATCCTCACCACATCCTCGATATGCTGATTCTATGCGACTAATAATTTTATGAACGTCTCTCCTCAAGAGTTCAAGAGTTAGAACCTATTGGAATCACCTTCCAATCATAGGGATTTCATAAGTCACAATTTAGGGTCCTAGTTCTGACACTGTTTTTGTAGTTCTGTCGCCGATATTAAATTAATTTCAACTGTAAAAAATAATACGCTGGAGAATTTAATCAATAATTTTTGAATCACTGTACAAACCACTCCTAATCTATTGTCAATAGTAATAACATGCATTAGATAAAACATACAAAAACGTGTCAGTTATCCGATTTATAAACGGAATTATCAAATGAGTACTGAACATGGGATAGTCTTATATGTTAACAAATTCACTCGTATTATGAAAAAGTTACCTGATAATCATAACATACATTTTGAAAATAAGATCAAAACACTAATTAATAACATACATTGAAAAACAACTGAAATATTTAGCACGCCAAGTTCCTTAGTTCGTTAAGTTTGTAGCAAACAATAACTCAAACCAATAATAAAAATATAATACTTTAAGTTTAGAATTTGACAACAGTCAGATTCCTTAATCAGTTCATAGGAATAATTACGACTCACAACTCTGCCAAATCTTGGTTCATCTAATGTTGTGCCTCACCACATCCTCGATTCGTACGTAATCGTATGCTGATTCGTCTAGAGCAGGTTCAGTTTGTAGCACGACATTATTGTAGAGATGACCATTGGTGGGTGAGGTAACTCGGAGAACAACATTGCCGTAGTTGTGTTCAGTCGAAGGGATTGTTTCAGCAAGGTTGGGAACTGCAGTATTTATAGCGTTATTATTACCACATTGCTGGCCTCGACATTTTTGAGCTTTCTACGTAAGTGTAGGATATACAATCCAACCATTATTAATGTTATGAAGAAAACCGCTACCACCCCTGACGATATCCAAACTCCTATATTGTGTTGCGCTGCTTTGCCTGAAAATAACTATAGTTTTTATCACTACGCCATCGAAAATTATGACTGTACCACAGTTAAAGCAGAAATATCCAATACTTTTCCAGAATATCGCCTATTGAATTGAAAACAGAATGGATGAATATCTTGACGTAAAATATTCATCATTAATATTGGTAAATAAGTCGATAACACTATTTACTTCAACAACGGTCGTGGTGGAGCATTATATAACAGGAAATCTTAAAAAAAAGTAACGGGAAGCTAAATTCGTTGGTTATCAGTGTTGTACATAAAAGTATGAAGAGATAAAAATAACAGCCAATTACAATTAATGGCAGCTGATATTTGGCCGCTGATATTTGGCCGCTGATATTTGTTTTTCTAAAGATAGCATTCTAACCTTCTTTGCATTTGTTTCCCTCCACACAGATCCTCTCTCCATTGTCCGAATCACAAGTGTAGTTTCCCTGTGCTTCATTACAGTGCACAGAGCAATTCTCTCCAAAATGGTTTTCGATGCAATTTTCACAATTTCTTCCTTCTTTGTTGATATTCTGGCACTCATCACAGTCTTCTCCCTTCTTGCCCTCCACACAGATCCTCTCTCCTGTTGTCTGGTCACAAGTGTAGTTTCCTGTAACCGGTTTACAGTGTGTGTCACATATCTGTGGAGGGAAGTAATGCTCTTTACAGTCTTTGTTTCCTGATCCATCACATGTATAACTAGTATTAGTAGTCTCCTGGCAGAATTTTGAGCAAGTCTCTCCAAAATGGTTGTCGATGCACTTTTCACAATTAACTCCTTCTTTGTTTCTGTTTTGACACTCATCACAGTCTTCTCCGTAGTAGTTAGCTACGCAGGAGTTACAGCCTAATCCAGTGAAGTGGTTATCACAGCTCAATACCCTATATTTTATCTTAAGAGTTGCTTGTTTGTCGTCACCCTCAGCGTTAGTGTAACTTACAAAGGATTTCCACGACCAGGTTCTACCTGATCTATTGCCTGAAAATGGTACCACCAAACCCGACATTGTTCTTTCATAATCATCAGCATTACCTATACCCGAGCCGTCTTTATCCCATACTTCAAATGATATAGTTATACTCCTATCAGTGTTGATGTTTACTGGAATAGCTTCATCAAGCTGCTCCAGGTTAGAGAAATAGACAGTATCGTTGTTACCGGTGAAGTTCGTTTTTGTTAGGTTGAGAAATTCATTACCTTCTTCGTCCTGGATCACAAAGTTCTTGAAGTAAAAATCACATACGTCTCCGCAGTTGGTTGAATCTTGGTACGTAAACAACTGTATCTCCCCCTTCCCACTGCAGTGTATGTGCTCCTGTGGAATGTGCTGTTTTAATCATGCACCTATCATTAAATGGGTCTAGATAAACGATGTGTTTTCGTTTTATGGTCGACAGATGGTACAAACGTGGCGATTTCGGAGATAATCTCATAGTCATACTGATTTATCATGTTATCTACTACGTGTTATCTACTACTCGAGGACAGAGTTTAAAGGGATTAGCTCAAGATTATCAGAAGCTCGCTCACTACGAGAAGTGCTTACCGATAAGAGTAGCAGAATAGAAACCAGAAATATCTTCATTTAACCAAACTTTTATGAGCGTTCAAAATCAAAATATATACAACCGATGCGACTATCCTGGGGCAAAATTTGAAAGTCATATGATAAAATGTGCGATACTACTTTAAAAAAATGTATTTATACTACTATACATAGTTGCTGGAGGATGGTGATTTTTAACGTTGAGTAGCTGATCTAAGTTTGGGTGTAATAAGTAATAACTCGGGACTGACTAGATACAGGATTTAATGCTGTTTCACTGGGTACTGGGTACTACCCAGTGGGTAGGTGACATGATTTCACTCTGATGTAACAAAAGACTTCCTTCTTCTTCGATTTGACGAAGGGACAAATATTTTACTTAAACGATTATTTGACTTGAGATTAAGATTGAGCATTGGTTACTGAAGAGAGATTAAAGACTAGATCTCTCCTGATTACCCACATCACGTGTTGACACAGGTTTACAGTATTAACTCTGTTCCGTATTAACTCTGCATCTGTAGTAGTTATCTTCACAGGAATTACTGCCTAATCCACTACTACTATGTCGGAGCTAAGTCCGATCTACGCCAGAAAACCCCCTCCATATATCCCTGTCCCGCATCAGGGTTCGCAGTTCCTCTTTAGAGTTTGTCCCAACTTCCTTCAGTAACATAGACAAGTAGCTTTGTCTTGGTCGGCCTTGCTGTGCTCTACCGTGCGTAGGTTCCCATAAGACTAAATCACTGGCAAGTAGCTCAGGATGTCGGATGCAGTGTCCCGCCATTTTTAATCTCCTGCTTCGTAACTTGTTTGACAGCCTTGGGAGGCTACCATACAAAGTTATATTGCTGACCTTGTCCTTCCATGAGATACCCAGCACCATACGCAACATCTTTGTGTATGTCCCGTCCAAACTTTTCTCTTGAGCCTTTGTCAGTGTCCAGGTTTCTGATCCGTAGAGCAGTACTGATTCACAAGCCGCTATGAACAATCTAATCTTTAGGCTCTTTGAGAGTTTGGATTTCCAGATATCCTTCAGTCTATGTAGGGCACCCCACGCTTTTCCCTTTCTAACCCTTATCTCCCTATCTGTGCTCTCAATCCAGGAGCCTAAGTAGATGAAATCATCTACATTTTCTATGGCTTCCCCGGATCGACTTTGTAGGTCGCTAGATCGATCCTCCACACAGCTCAATACCCTATTATATAGCTATATTTTGTTCTAAGAGTTACTTTTCTGTGGTTACTTTCATGGCAAGTGCTAACTGCTACTCCAAGCTGATGATAATACAGTATTTTATGTATTAATTCGGTCTAAATTAATTCGGTTTTACTCTACGATATCAAATCGTAGCAAGTTGAGCGTGTCTAGCTAACATATTATATGTCTAGTGAGAAGTGTGCCTCACTAAACTTCAACAATAACGTAATAAAGGTGAGAAGTTTGTCTCACTGAGACTATCTAAATAAATCAAATATAATTGAAAAAAGTATGTCTCAACAAATAGGTGAAAAAGGTTAATTCTATATAATATTACTACCAATAAATCTCAATATTCAATAACTGGCGGAGCACTTTTTGTACTATAATATGTAACCCTAACAGCGATAAAACCTTTTTTAGCTTTAAACGTAATAGAAAAGGAGTACGTAATTGTTGTTATCAAGACGTTAGAGTCGGTTTATCAGCTAAAGAGCTTAAAAGCAATGATTAAACAAAAATTGAACTTAAGTTAAATAATCAAATGCGGTAATCCTCAAAATAAAAACAAAATTGTTTCTTCTGAGTTAAGATAATATGATATGAAACACAATCTAACATATTTTTAATTTAACAAAAAATAATTTGCATTAAAACAAATAATCAAATTTTTATGGAAAAATTATCATAAGCTGTAGCCTGTATCGAATGCAAATAGGACTGACTATGATGAAGAATGTGGCATCACCTGTCATATCACTAACACGTCTAAATTCTAATAGATAAGCTTTTATCTTTTGCATTAAGTGTGTCCTAAACTTTATTACAGACTCAATTCAGTTCAGTTACTGTAATGTAAGTAGCATCTTCCCCATTCTCCCCGACCCTTTCAGCACAAGGATTCCTAAAAATCACCACATCATCTTTCCCTCTGTTCTTCACAAACGCTACATCAGCATACATCTCCCCATCTTGAGCGGGCTCGCTGGAGGGTTGTTGAGGTTTGTTACATTCCCCTGGTCTGTCCAGACGAGAGTACACGTCTTGTTCCTCCGCTGACAATCGCTGTTTGTTGACTGTGGGGTAGAGTTGTGGTTTGTTTATTGTTGAGTATAAAGCACCAGGGTCGTTGTCTGGGTTAACAACATTTCCATCTCCAATGTTGGGTTTCTCCTCCTTTTGTCTTCTTTGTCTTCTGATTAACAGTGTTATCACAAGTATCACGAGGAAGAGAAGCAGTCCACCTCCTCCTGTTATCCCAATAAGTAAAGTGTTATTAGATGCTCCGATCTCTTCATCTTCTTTGTCTTTTTTCTCTTCTTCATCTGGGCGCCCACAGTTGTCCTCCAATTTGGCAGTGGAGTTGTGACAGACCTTCTCTCCATCTTCAGTACAATTGTAGAACTCATTTTCTTTGCAGATGATCGAGCAGTCCTCTTTGTAAAAGTTAGGTTTACATTCATCACATTCCTCACCATCTCTATTACCACGACACTGCTTCTCTCCTTCATCATTGCAAGTGTAATTCTCTCCGTCTGGAATACAATACACACCACATGTTCCTTTAGGGTAGAACCCTTCAGCACATGTGTCACAATCATCTCCTGCAAAGTTACTTTTACATTGGTCACAGTTCTCTCCAATCTTTCCGTTTTCACACTCATCACAGTTGTCTCCCTTTTTGCCTGCTACGCAGATCTTCCCTCCTGTTGTCGGATCACACGTGTAATAGTTAAGGTCCTGTTTACAGTACGCGTTACACTGGTCAGTGTATTGGTCATTCACACAGAAATTGCATCCTACTCCGGTGAAATTAACAGTACAACTTAACAATCTGTAGCTGACCGTAAATTGCATTCCCTGGTTCCTTTTGGTCTGAATTGCTTGTTCCCAGTCTTGATTAACCGACCATGTTTCGAGAGGAATCTTAAAGTTGGTAATATTTCTTATCCAATCATCAGCACCGTATGCACCTCCGTCTTTATCCCAAACTGAGGTAAAAATGTTCACCGTTTTGTTTGTTGGAACAGTGATCTCAATAGGGTTTTTCAGCTCTTCCACCAATGTTAAATTAACTGTCTTCGTGTTACTTGTACTAGCAGTCTTCGGTATGTTTTTGAGAGTGTTGCCGTCTTCATCTCGGATTATTAGTGGTTTAAAGTAAAAATCACATGGTTCACCACAATCAGAGTAGTCCACATACTTGATGAATTTAATCTGACCAACTCCACTGCTGTAAATCTGGTCCTGCACAAAAGAGTTGATTTCAGTAAAGCGTAATAAGGAAATGCTTGTGATAATAAGGAAAGGCTTGTGATTTGTGAACTGTGGAAACATTCGGGTTTACTTTGAGCGAGTAAATAAAACTGATATTCATGACTCTTATAAGTTAATTAAACTTTATATTCAATCAAAACTTACCAGCAGAAGTATAAATACTAAAAGTAACAGCCCCATTTAAAAAAACGTATCAGTCCACACAAAAGTTAACGAATGTCGCCTTGTATCTTAACAATGCAACATCATATTCCTACTTTATATACATTTAACGGCGCAATTCTGATTTCTGGGTTTTACATATCAAGTTTCGTGAGTTCTTTACTCAACGAGCTTTTATCGTATCAAGTTTACCTGTACTGTTATGACATATGCATCATCTCACTTCTAATCGAAACATTTATTATGTGATTTTGTCTCCAGGTGGAGTGCTGGTACAAAAAACAGGCTATCATTACACCATTATTACACTATTATATTAGTATCACACTATTTCACTACTAGTATTACACTATTTGATATTTCACCAATTCGCTATTAAACTATTTCACCACAGTACCAAAGAAATTACTAGACGCTTATATCATTGTTTATAATTTCACACTTTTGCTTTCGACTAAGATTTTAATAAGGAAAGAAAAATCAAGAAGGGAAATAATATGTCCTAATTAATATATAACCTAATTAACGTGCTTTTTGATTTACCGGGCATAGGTGTCAGATTTTAGGCAGGTGCTTCAAGAATTTGTACCTATCTAGCTTAAGGCCACAGGGGGGGGGGGTCGAGGCTTCAAAAAATGCAAAAAAACATTATGCTTTGAATCAATATATATTTTTGTGGTGGATACTTTGCCACCACTCATTTGTCTGTAGCTATTTTACTTTTTTTAATAAATGAGGTTAACCAATTCTCATTTAACCTCATATTTTTGATAAATCGATAATGGAGGGCAGAAATATTGATGCCATTACAACTGAAAACTACGATAAGCTTTGTTTTTATTGTTTTTGTGTTATTTCAGCAGTTAAACTTTGAAAAATATACAAATAAAGGCAAAATACTCAAAAATCACATAACATAAAAAACAGTTTTTTGCCTCTCCTGAAAACCTCGAATTTTTGACTTCAAAATCTATCTTCTCCTAGAGTTTTTATCCATTTCACCTCAAATTTGGAACTTATGTTCCTGACATAAATTTAAAAGTTTGTTATGTAACGATTGTTGTAATTTTGCTCCTAACTCTTTTTATGAGGTTAACCATTTTAAATTTTGTTACCCGCACTCATGGTTAACCTCATATCTCAGCTTTGGAGCAAGATATCATAAATCGTTACATAACAAAAACTCAAAATACCTTGAAGAACACTGTTGCCAAGTTACAAGGTTCTAAGTCATAAACTGAAAAAGAAGATAGATTTTGAACACGATTTCATTTAAAGTTTTCATTTACAATAGAATTACAGGTAAACCTCAAAATTCAACGCGCGATATCTTCAAATAGGAAACTTTGTTTTCGGTAAGGACAAAAGCATTTGAAAATTTAGATCGAGCTCTACAACATATCTCAAAATCTCAAAATCGACCTCGGACCCCCCCCCTGTGGCCTTAATCGAACTCACGCGTTAGTGATAGATCACGTCGAAGCGGTAGAATCTCCGCCTAATTGGACTTCGTATCGAAAGCATACAGGAAAGTTGAATTAAACGCAAAAATTTTTAAGACACATTTCTATCTACGGAGCAATAATGAAGTACAATTATCTGTTCTTGTGAAATGATTATCGCAGAACTGCTTCAGTATGATGTCCCATACTTTACTTGGACTCTCTAGTTGCTCTGAACCTATCTGACGTAAGAAATATTACCATAATATTATACCAATAAAGCAATAACAATTATAATAATTAATTAAATAGGGTAAATTTAAAATTAATTAAATAGGGTGCTCATCTGAACAAATGATTACAGGTGTGATAGAAGAGTTGAACCTAACGGGAAGTATCCGACAGAAGATCATATCTCTCAGCAGCTCGCTAGTGTCCTTCATATCTCTCACACAGTTGGATATATCTCGCAATAATATCAGCTCCCTGGAGGGCCTCCAGTTTTGCCAGGTTTTTTGACATTTTGAATATTACTGTATCATTTAAAAAAGTGATAAATGGATACTTACGTATTATTTTCACGTCGCCTTGGAGTGTTATGGTTATTTGCTCGGTTTATCTATTTCGAGAAGGTTATAAAATGTCAATGCAGGATTTAGATTGGTCTCAACCTCCATATTTCCCCGTAGAACCTAGAGAATATCAACATATACTACAACAACATCAGTGCAATGTCCGAACTGATGAAGCTGGCAAGAAACCCTAAACTCATTGAAATTGACGTCAGACTGAATCCTATATCGGTGATGAGTACAGAGTATAGACTTCTTCTTGTACACGCTCTACCTCAACTAAAAACATTAGGTGAACATTGTTTTTAATATAATATGTTTTTACCTCATATTAGTTTATCTTGAATTGAGAGATAAAGTTATTGTAGAGTTTTTCTTAAATCAAAGTATTACTTCCATGATAATATTTTCCTTGATCATAAAAATAAAAGAGGATGTTATTACGATTACTGAGTATCCGCCCACGCTATTAGCTATAAATATCTCAAATTGTACACAGGGCTTTTATTTCCCAGTAAAAAAATACCCTCTCGAATATCAAGATATCAGTCCTTACTCACCGCACTGTTTGCAGATAACGTACCAGTAACGGAGAAAGACCGGATGTTGTCACTGACGTACCACAGCAGTGATCAGGCTGCTCAGATTGCAGGATATATGGGGGAGGGGGTGGCTGCTGGGGACCTCAGGTTAGTTCACAGCAGTGATCAGGCTGCTCAGATTGCAGGATATATGGGGGAGGGGGGTGGCTGCTGGGGACCTCAGGTTAGTTCACAGCAGTGATCAGGCTGCTCAGATTGCAGGATATATGGGGGAGGGGGTGGCTGCTGGGGACCTCAGGTTAGTTCACAGCAGTGATCAGGCTGCTCAGATTGCATGATATATGGGGGAGGGGTGGCTTCTGGGGACCTCAGGTTAGTTCACACTTTCACAGCAGTGATCAGGCTGCTCAGATTGCATGATATATGGGGGAGGAGTGGCTGATGATATGTCAGTCAAGTCGGACTTTGATTGAATAAAGTTCTCACCCAAACTACTTTCAACAGGTTACAAAACAGTTCTGCTGTAACAGATGAAAACAGGAGTGTTTCAGTTAGATCCCGCACCTCAACAGCATCTTCTAAATTAACGGGTGAGTTAAAAGTTATGAGTGCTAGATTGTGAAGGGTGCTGTTGTCTTTATCTGAAAGTTTATATATGGAGATATGGGAGGGGTTTTTATTAATCTTATTATCAGTTTAGTGTCACATAATACGCTTGATGGCTTAGATAAAAAGATTATTAAACATCAGATTTGTGTTATTGACATGGAATTGTATCATGCAACAGATGTATCCGCTTATTGGTTTATCTTCTTTTGGCACTGCTCCACAGCTGCTGTTTCCTGCTCCATCCATATTAACTTACATTATCTTATCAGTAAACTATCATTTTATTATGGAACTGATAACTTCAACTCCAGACAAAAGTTCGACAAGTTCGTGTGAGAATTACATCAGAGATCTGCGCCCACCACTTACAGTACTGCAACCGTCGCGCGACGCGTACGAGGCGTACAGTGCACATGGCTCCTTTACCCCAAATCCTAAGCGCAAGATCACAAGAGAACAGCCTCCACCTGCTCAATCCCCTCTCAAAAACAAGTTAGTTACTTTTGTATCTCAGATTTTACACTATAAAGGATTGCTAGTTGGTTTCAACATGCTCTGAGATATAGTATGCGGTCTGCTTGACGACTATATAATGTGAGCATGTACTGAAATTATATTACTGCCACTTTTTCATGACTTTATTATATATCGTTATTACTCCTGTGGAGTATTTTTAGGTCGTTTTACCGTTAAAGGTGTTGGTCAATCAGTGAGATCCGTACAATCACCAATAGCATGAGAATATCTTTCGTTACAACGTGTTATCCACACTCCACAGGTATCAAGAAGAAATGCAGATAGTTGAGGAGAATAAGAAGTTAAGAGAGAAGTATCAGGATTATAAGAACAAGTATAATAATGTGTAAGTTCTCAAATCTCTGTTTTAATTTCACATTTTGATCCAAAATGCTGATTCACAGTATACGCCTTTGTTACGTTGAATTCGTTGATACATTTGTTTAAATTAAAAGGTGTGTTTACTAATAAGCAACATATCATGGGCATAATATGTGCTAAAACATTTCTGGTATATTTAAATTTTGTGTTACTTTGATGCCTCATTTAAATTTAGACTTATCACAGATTAGCCCAGCGAATATCAAAAGAGAGTTATTTGAAGCTGCAAGAAGATTATTACAAAAGTTTAAAGAAGACCGAAGAGTTGGAAGAGGTGTACAAAACTTCGAGCGAAGAAGTGTTGGCGCTGAAACAGCACATTAACGACCTCAGCCAGGAAAATAACACTCTCAAGAAGGTATGTTTCCTTTTTTAACAGAAGAATGTGTCTTTATTTTCGACAAGAATTGCGCCGGTTATCAGACGCTAGATTTCACATTCGTTACACTCTGAGCTTATGTTAGTTTACTGAGGCTCTGAGGGGCCATACGTTTTTTGACAAATGATATTCTTTTTGCATTTTAAAACAGCGATAATAAAATAAGATAAAATAACATTACAATCACAGCCTGCTAGTCTAAATTAGACTAGCAAGCTAGACTAGAGTCTAGTATCTAAGTCTAATATTCTAACGCTTAAATCCGACGCCTCCGACCTTTCCATCAGAAGTCAAGGCAATCACCTGGGTGGAGTATGCAGTAGAAGATACCTCCAATCAGATTAGTTGTCATGATCCCGTACTGTCCTCCGTCATGTTTCAAGTTGAGAGCCATTGAGAGGCCACCCAGGTCGATCCTAGTGACTCCAAGACCGTTTTCACAAGGAACTTCGTCTTCACAGCCCATGCAGTCGCAGTAGTCATCACACACATAATTTGCTGGTATATCGTCTCCGTCGGTACAGTAAAACCTATCTTCTTCTACAACCTCACATTCTTCAGCTGCATCTCCGCCCCAGTATTCGTCGGCATCTGCATCTTCAGCTGCAGCCTCTTCTCCGCCCCAGTATTCGGCGGCATCTGCATCTTCAGCTGCAGCCTCTTCTCCGCCCCAGTATCCGTCTTCAGCTGCATCTTCAGCTGCAGCCACTTCTCCGCCCCAGTATCCGTCTTCAGCTGCATCCTCAGCTGCAGCCACTTCTCCGCCCCAGTATCCGTCTTCAGCTGCATCCTCAGCTGCAGCCACTTCTCCGCCCCAGTATCCGTCTTCAGCTGCATCCTCAGCTGCAGCCACTTCTCCGCCCCAGTATTCGTCCTTTTAATAATTAGTACAGTTCTAAGATATCCCAAAATCTGTATTATGAAAGTGGGTAGTAGGTGCACACTACTCACCCTCTTCCCACACAATTCTACCAAAACGAAAAGTTGAAAATACTCTTATAAACGGTTTACTTGAGTTACCTGAGCTGCAACAGTTCCCAGTAGGATGAAAGCGAGTAGGAATAGTGAATTCATGGTTAGTCTAAGAAAGATTCAGTAGAGTCAAAGTAAAATGTTTGTGTTTCTCACCTCAAACGCAGTGAGTATTTATAAAACTAGCTGGTAATAAAGGGCCATTGTTTTAATTTGGTTAAAGTTAATTAAAATTCCCGGGGCTTTGAAAGACTAAATATCTGAATAATGTTCGCCCATGTGCTTTTTGCACTTTTTAATTACTCTTTTACAAAATTCCTTATTAATCTTTAAAACTTTACCGTCCTGTAAATTCTTCCTTGTTGATAAATAAGAGAGCTAAACTCGTGTTCTCCCTTCTCGTCCGGTTATTGAGCTCCTTGGTGCCCACGTTCCATTTTCCGTGCATGTGCTCCAGCGCCTTGCTTGCATTAGCCTTCTTTCATCAGCTCCCTTTTCACTCAATCGTATAAACAACGATTGTGAGCTCCGGTGTCAATAAGGACTAAGGAAAAGACGAGTTTTTATTTATTGCTGGCCCCCTTTTTTAGTGGATTAAAATTTGGTTGTATTGATGTATATTAAGAGGAAAACAAAGGTCACAATATACTAGGTTTGGACAAATTTCCTGTCGTTAGTGATGATTAATAATTAAGAAGACAATGCCACTGGCCCCTATTAATCATTGCTCCAAGCTGACTATAGTTTATCATTAACACGTATTACAATTTTTTTCAGGAACTGGCGATAAAGGATCAAGTTAGCGAAGTGGACAAGCAAATAAAGGAGGTTTGCAGGTTTAACTCTAGCTTTAATTTCTGATATTATTACAATTGCAATGACCACGATGGACACTTTTGGAACAGGATTTCTCAATACTGAGTTGACTCCTTACCTATTTATGACACTCAAATTGAGCCAAATTGATCCGATAGTTGCCCCATCCAGGAAATGAGCAAACGGGAAAGCGGTGCTTGTACGGCAAGCGCGGTCGCCAAATCAATGTTTTGTGTACCGTTTGTTGCTGTCTGCAGTCATGTTTTGCACGTGCGCGCGCGTTTCGGGCGGAATACTGATCGAAATTTGGCGTGTCAACTTTTCAAGCCCTGTTCCTGATTCTTTCCATGACATCACACCGTTCACACGATCCTTTCTATTTGATATGGCGGTAAGGAGTTTTTGATAATTCCTAATTTTCATATTTAACAGGGAACTACAAGAAGCCATGGCACGAGACAGAGAAAAGTACGTGGACCAAATAGAACAATTCACCGACAAGTATGAAGACCTGGCTAAGACGTTCACCAACACTATGTCCAATATGGAACAGGTATGCTCTGAGATGTAGGACGTTCAATTCATGACATAGAAATGTAACTTGTCAGTGTTAAACCATCATTTTCATTGAACCTAAACTCCGCTTCCGGACCACCGATTTACAAAATTCAAGATGATCCTTGTTTTGAGTACAACATAATCATTGCCGGGCTAGTATAGTTAAAAACTTACTTATCACAATTGCAAATTGAATTGTTTTCAGAAATACAAAGAAGATGCGCTCCGACGATCTCAACTTCACAAAGCTCAAATAGACAAGTTTCACGAAAACTTTGCAAATTTACAGAACCTTGTTGACATAGCTAAAATATTTGATTCCACCAGTAGTGATGGAAACGGGTCCGTATAAGTTTTGAGATGTGTAGTTTTTGATGTAACATTATTTTCGATCAAGTATCTATGATCAAATAACAATGATGTATCCAGACTTCCAGAACTTGATATGCAGATTGCAGAGTTCTCTCTCTCTCTGTTTTGGTCAACGGTTTCTGGCCTCCTAGTGAAGAGGGAGGCCTTCTCGCCGTGCCCACAGAGTGTGACTCCTGCTAGCCACACTCCAGGACTCCCTAAGTATATACAAAAACATAGAATAATAGATATCAACGCAACAGACCTCTGGAGTCTCGAAGCTGTTACTACCTTGCTCAGAGCAAACCCACTTCAGATGTTCTTCTTTGGCGGGCAGGCGAGGGACTTCCGAGCATGGTCCACACCTGAATATGTGTCACTATCTGAGATAGTCCTGTGTGGGTCTAGTGTATGATTGTTTATGAAACTTGGTGTATGTCCTAGATGCTTATCCAAATAGATCGTCTCTGTCAAACCTTGTTGACTGTTCCACGAATTTGATAATGTGGTCGAGTTTACTATTGATGAGTTCCTCAATTGTTAGGATGGGTTTACCAAATATCCTCATTCTAGTTGTCATCAGCTGGATGCATTCACATAGGAAGTGTTGTGATGTTTCTGCTTCCCCTGGGCAGTGTTCACAGTCTTGTGTTTCGAAATTGGAGTTGTTTGCTACCGTCTGGAAGTATGCTAGTGGGCTGTGTCCTGATAGTAGCCATGTTAGCCATCTGATGTGAGTACCTGTGATGTTAATTTTCTTGTACCTGTTTTTGTTGAGGAAAAATGTTAGTGGGGTTTTTCCTTTATCACTGAGTGCCACCTGTTTATACTTCTTGATATGGAGATTGAAGAGGTAATCTTTTATTTGGGTGTTGATTATAGTTCTTTACCGTATACTCCTTCATGTCCTGGAACAAAGTTCTACTCGATGAGAGAACCTAGCAAGTTGAGTTGGTCTGAGATGTTCAGAACGAACCTGGAGTTAAAATTGGTGCTGTTAAGGGCTTTAAATGCAGCCTGGGAATCTGAGAGGAATTTATGATTGAATGAGATCCTAAGTTATCATTAGTCCAGATACTTGCCATGTATAACGCAAATAGCGGGTACGATTTCCTCAATGAACCTGAAGAAGGAATATCTGTCCTGAATTGATACCATGTAACGTCGAGCTTAAAAATGAATCAAAAGTTCGAGTAAATCGTTAAACGTTGTATGTCCTATTTGCATCCCCTAAGCATTGCATTGATGTTTATTCCTGGTCCGGTTAGCTTTGCGTCTCAGAAATAAAGAGGTCCACTATGCTTTAATGAGCTAAGCTGTCCACCAGGGTACTGTAGATCTAAGGGTTCCCCGTGTAATGGGGCAGGCTGTGATAAAGCATCTCTGCAGGATGTCCGAGATGAACTGATTCGAGTGTTGAGAACTTCCGCTGTAGAAACTGAACAGAACCAGTAAGGATGTCAGTCAAACTCTGCTGCTACTAGATGATTGTAGAGCGTCCAGTCACACTTCAATAAAGAGTGTGGCAAAGCTAACCCGGTCCCCTGAAAAGTGGTTACTGGAGGAAGAAGTTCCAGGAATTCTCGTTATCAGTGTGTCCTCGTAGTCAGAGTTGAAATCCCTAATTCTGTCTTATCACGAGCCTGTGTCTAGCGTGTGTCAGCCCTTACGCATTAGCTGTCTTAACTGAAAAGACCTGAAAAGTGGTTACTGGAGGGAGAAGTGCCAAGACTACTCATTATCAGTGTGTCCTTGTAGTCAGGATGAGCGAATTGGAATCCCTAGCTCTGTGTTGGGTGACTTCGATGGGACCTGAAAGCTGAAAGAGAATTTCCTGGTGATTTAATAGCTCTTAGAGCTAGGTATCTGTGTCTAACGTATCGTCATTTGTGTGTGTACTATCTTGTAACCTGATATCTGAAAGAGAAATTTCCTGGTGCTTGGTAGCTGTTATTGTTGACTTCCTGGTTCCCATGGGAACTTTGAGTTGGCAAGTCCCAACCTTAGTACTCAACAAGAGAGCACACCACCCGTTAGTGCCAACCAGGCCACACCACGTGGAGGTTCGGAGAGGATTTTGTGACCCAGATTGCAGAGTTAATGTAGCCATTAATTATTTTTCTTTGGCATTGACAAGCATCGATTTGATATTTTATAACTGACTACAAGGCGCGGCTGTAGTCTGTACATAATCATTTTAATATATTATTATATTTCTTATTTCAACATTTATCGTTACATGTTATATTTAGTATTTGTACTTATATTTATGACTTACTTGACTTAAGGCGGCTTCAGCGTCCGAGTATTGATGCGCTGTCTCCATAAAACTCTATCCGCCATAAGTCCGCCCATTTCTCCAGTGTCGTTGAGACCCGTGTCAGCTCGTATGCTATCAACATAGGTCATGGCTGGTCTCCCCCTACTCCGCACCCCATGAGTTGGTTCCCAGAGTAGCAAGCGGTTTGCGACTAGTTCTGGGTGCCGGTGGATATGGCCTGCTAGTCGCATCCTGCGCTCTTGGATCTTCATGGTTGCTCTCGGTAGGTTGCCATAGACTTCTTTGTTGGTTTTTCGCTGCTTCCAATCCACATTAAGTGCCATCCTTAGCATTCTAGTGTAGCAGCCATCAATGCGTTTCTTCAATTGCTCTGTCAACGTCCAGGTTTCAGAACCATAAAGAAGTATTGACTCCACAGTAGCAACAAATAGACGGATCTTTAGTCCTCTTCTAAGGTCAGACTTCCACATCTTCTTTAGCTTGTGGCAGGCTGCCCAAGCCTTAGCTTTTCTGACCCGCAGGTCCCTCTCTGTTGTTGCTATCCAAGCTCCAAGGTAAACAAAGTCTGTCACCTTTTCCAGCTGGTTTCCAGAACAGCTATTAAGACTACTCGCCTCCTCTGTCATGTTCAGAGTCATGAACTTAGTTTTAGAGCCGTTCATGGCTAGCCCAACACTCAGTGCTGCTTTCTCAAGCCTGTCCAGGAGTAGTTTTGCCCCTTCAATGGTATCAGTGATAAGGGCAACATCATCTGCAAACTCGACGTCTGCGATCTTCTCGGCACCAATCCTTCTACTCCGTGCAGGCCTGAGGGTAAACCCAGAGTCCGAGTCATCATCGTCTATAGTCACTGTCATGATATAGTCAATCACGATAATGAACAAGTACGGGGCAAGAGTGTCTCCTTGCAGTACTCCAGCCAGGATATCAAAAATTTCTGTTATACCATCGGCTGTAACTACTTTAGCCTTTGTGCTCGTATAGATACCCTCAATGAGCCGCACTATGGCTTCTGGTATGCCATATGCTTTTAATATCTTCATGAGCAAACCTCTATGCACACTATCGAACGCCTTTTTGAAATCAATGAAAACCATGGTGGCCTTAAGATTTTTGGCTCTAGCACCCTCCATAATTCTTCGTAGAGCAAGGATGTGCGATGTTGTAGAGCGCCCAGGTCTAAAGCCATTCTGGTTGTCCCTTAAAACTTCCTCAAGACTTGGCTTCATCCTGTTCAGCAACATTTTGTTCAGAGTTTTACTGACTATCGATGTCAGAGATATTCCTCTGTAGTTGTCGGTCTTAGTGAGGTCCCCTTTCTTTGGCACAGGAACAATATTACTGAGCTTCCATTGATCGGGCATGAGACCATCACATAATGCATCGTTGCAGAACTTCAGGATGACGTCATCGATGTCCACTCTCTTCATCACTTCAGGTGAGATACCATCATCACCATAAGCTTTGCCTTCTACTATCTGCTTTTTGGCAAGACGTAGTTCCTCAATGGTGAACGGGCCATCCTCTATATTCAGTGGAGGGTGTATATTCCTGATCGGAATACTATTGTCAGGGACTGTGGGTGGCTGTCCAAGTAACCCAGAGAAGTGCTTCCTCCAGTTCTCAAGACGTTCTGTTGAGCTGCCCCCTTCCACGAGTCCACAGCTGGGATTTGTCCTCCCTGAAATATCGTTGACAAGCTTCCAGGATTCCTTGTTCTTACAACGATCAGCAGTATCCTCAACTTTCCTGATCTTTCCTTTCAGGATCTCCTCCTCTACCTCTTTGTAGCAGGCCTTTAACAAATCCTTTTTAGTGGCAACTTCCTCTCTCTTCTCCTCACAAGGCTCCTGATGGTATTGGTCCTTGGCCAAGAACAGTCCCCTCCTTGCACTGTCCACTCTTGGGTCACTTGAGGGGTCAATCTGCTTTTGTCGAGTCTTCTTTGGCAGAAGGCTCTTGTTTGCCGCCTCAATAGCAACCATAAGCTTCCCGTAGCTTTCAGTGGCCCCATCATCCTCCTCTACCAGGCCAGAGAATCTATTCCGAACTTCAATTGCATACTTTTTTTGAAGCTCACCATCCGACTTCAGGGCACTATAATCATAGTTAACTTTTTTCGGAGGCCTGTGTCCTTTCCTAAAGCTAACTTTGATCTTACACACTACAACTCTGTGATCAGATCCCAACGACTGAAAAGTGTTGTAAACTTCAGTGTTCTTTAATGAGTTTTTCCACTTCCGCCGTATGAGGATATAGTCAATCTGACCTTTGTTAAGTGTCCCATCGGATAAGAAGGTCCACCTCTTGTTGACCTTCTTTCTGAAGCGGATATTGGTAATTTCCATATCGCACTCCAGGGCAGTGTCTCTCAGTAGCTCTCCATTCCGATTGGTACGAGTATGAAAGTACCAACGGGAATCTTCTTCACTCTCCTTTCCAAGCCGGGCGTTCATATCTCCCTCTGTGATCAGCAGGTGGTGCGCTGGAACATCATTCATAGCCTGTCTAAGGGTGTTATGGAAATCCTCCGCTTCTTCAACTAGTGCTGCCTCGGTAGGACTATAGGCAGTTATAGTTGTGAGTCTGGGATTTCCGTTGAAAGAGATAGTCAGCACCCTTGAGCCATAGGGTTTAATGAGGCTGATTGCGCTGTATGCTCTTCTAGTCAGCAGAAAGCCCACTCCACCGGTGGCTGCTCCTGCTCCATTCCTCCATGCTGAAACAGTTACCAAGCTAACCCCCTCCTTGAACTTTTCGATCTTGATCGGCTCCTGGTGGACAATCCTATGTTCTTGGATCCCAAGGATCTCCATGCCACTCTCCAGAAACTGAGTCACGAGTTCAAGGCGCTTGTAACCTTCTCTAGCAGTTCGGACATTAAATGTCCCTACTAGAGCTACCTCACTACAAGAAACCAATGCATCCCCATCCTTTTTTTGTTGTTTTATGTTATTTTTTGTGCCGGGTGAAGGAGCCGGCATATCATCTGTCACCCCTCTCCTAGGGAGTTTTAGGGTGAGAGAGTCATCAATCCGGTCCCCTCCGACATCTAAATCAGTGGTAGGGACTTTAACCCTAGTGTTATTATAAGACATCATCAAACTTTTCAACTTCAACTTCAACTTTTTTATATTTATGTCAGATTTTATTACACTATGATAAGATGATAGAGCGAAAATTTAAATGAACGCATTTTTGTAAAATATGATAAAAGAAGTTATAATTTACAATCAAAATATTGAGTCCAATTTTCCCGAATCAATCTTCATTGCAGACTTATAATACACAATATCTTTACAAAAAGAGTCGTTCAAAATTTGAACAATCTGATGAGGTTGTCAGTTGCGCCGGAGGTGCTACCGAAGAGGCTGCCCGTGTCTCTGCTCATCCTGGTTTATGTCTCCCAGATTTTATCCGCAAGTTATCTTTATAAGTTGACCAAGAGTAGAGATTGAGCAACTTCTTCTTCATCTCAGAGTATGATGGGTAAAACAGGATCTGTAATTGTTGTTGGTTAAAACTCAGGAATATTCTGCTGTGAAATCAGTCAAAAAAGCATCATGATCATCTTTGTTCCATGACTCTCCACTTCATGCATTTATCTGCAAATACTCTACAACATGATCTTACCTTCTCCCTGATATTATCCTTGCAGGACTTGTTGAGCAGGAGCTGGAAAGTATCCTTCTTGACGATAACACACTCGCACCCTCTGCTAACCAGACTAGTCTCCAGCTCACCATCTATCACAAATAGGGAGGTCATTCCATACACATCACCCTCTTCTAGTGTGCACACCTTTAGAAACTCCTGATGTTGTGAGCTGTTTTTACCAATCACACAACAGTATAATAGCCTATAATATGTATATAATAGTCAAATATTTGCCTGATGTAGTGCAATAAAGATGGGTTTCTGATCACAGTTTAGAAAATTGTACCATCAAATTCAGAGTTTGGTTTAAGAGCTTGTGGAATGTGGGTGGCAGAGAGATAGTTGCTATTACCTGTCTTAAAGGAGGAGCAGTCTTGGTTGAGTACCTGTCCCGAGTAACTGTGGACCCAGTCCCGGGTCTAGATTTAGTACACGTGCTCTTACCACCGTATGTGCTCTTAGCACTATTAGCACTAACACTTTTAGCGCTGCACGTGCTTTTAGCGCTGTGTAACCTTCTCTTGCTTTCTGACACCCCAGTTCCTGGTCTAGGCTTCTTGTTTGATCCCTAGTTAAGAAATGTCATCAAATTTGAGGTAATTTTCCGAAGAATTTTCCGAAGAATTTCAATAATTCTCCTCGATCACTTCAAATTTCGGAGCTTTTCACTTCTACCACACTAAGCAATATCATTCCCCAATAATTCTCACCTGTTTTGAGGAACACTGATTTGAGGTTCCTATATCCACACCTTCTGTGATATCGTCCAGACAGCTAGAGTCTATCTCTATCTTGCAGGGAGTAAATAGTTTTGGTGTGGAGGGGGCTGTGGTTCTGCAGGGTGCGGATATTGGTCGGGATATGATCGATATTCTGTCTTCTGAAAAGGTTAGGAAAGTTACAGATTACAGTTGAAAATCTCCCAAACTTTATGCATATTCCAATTACACACTATCAATAGCTTCAGTGCCCACTGCAAATCGCCCGATCAGATCAATTTGTTCGACTAAACATTACCTCTGTTACGAATAATGCCGGTAACGGGTCGTATCCTCCTTGGTTTCTGATCGTGATATTTCATGCCAGTGTTAAAACAGGACACCGCTGAGGGTGGTCTCACGTTCGTTTCTATGGTAATGCGTGTTATGACGTCACACTTGCCACCACGTACAAAACAGAGGAGATCGTTGTTGGAGCTGCTCTGTACTATACACTTGTTGTTCCTGGGTAGTTTGTGGGTTTAGGAGTTGTTGTGATGTTCTGCAGGCTTATTGACATTTTGGGAGAGGGCAGTTCTTCTGTTCAGCTTGAAAAGGGAATTATAGACTCGCTGTTTTTACAACTCGATCGAGCCGTATTCACATTTTTGGGGATCAACTGTGCAGTTTACCTGAAGTACACTAAAGTAGCTGCTTTCGGATCTTCAAGGAATTTGACTGTAGGGACGTCCTCAAACCATTTTAGAGAGCTGAAATTATGGCTTTTAAGTTAAGATTATTTGAAAATAAAAAACATACTGGAACCATCCCACTAACCAGTAGGCTCTCCGTTTATTTGTCTTTTTACAACTCCTTTACAACATGCTGAACATATTAGTACTAACCATACCCACTTAAGTATACTTACCAATTCTTAAACAAAACTCTTTTTAAAAGTCGCCCGGAAACGTAAAGTTAAAGTAAAACTCAATCTTTAATAACATTAAAAGGGGGGGGGGGGGGGGGGGGGGGGGGGGGGGGGGTGTCATGTCCGTCTATGTCCGCCTATGTCCTGTCCTTTTTGGATTCTATAAGACAACGGACGTGTTTTTTGGGACATTGGCGGACACGGACGGACATTGGCGGACTTGGACGGACATTGGCGGACTCGGACGGACATTGGCGGACTCGGACGGACATTGGCGGACCCGGACGGACATTGGCGGACTTGGATGGACATTGGTGGACATTGGTGGACATTAGCAGACAAACATTTTGAGGACTGAAGAGTACTGAAGAGTACTGAAGAGTACTGAGGAGGATGGCTGAGAAGGATGGCTGAGGAGGATGGCTGAGGAGGATGACTGAGGAGGATGACTGAGGAGGATGACTGAGAGGGAGGAGAAGGATCAGGAAGACCCAGGAGGAGGAGGAGGAGGAGGACCCAGAAGGAGGACCTAGGAGGAGGAGGAGGAGAACTGAGGAGGATGACTGAGGAGGAGGAGGACTCAGGAGGAGGACTGAGAAGGAGGAGGACTGAGGAGGATGGCTGAGGAGGATGACTGAGAGGGAGGAGGAGGAAGAGGAAGAAGAGGACTGAGGAGGAGAAGGAGGACCCAGGAGGAGGAGGACCCAGGAGGAGGAAGACCCAGGAGGAGGACCCAGGAAAAGGCCCCAGGAGGAGGAGGACGACTGGGGAGGAGGAGAACTGTTGAGGACTGATGAGGAGGACTGAGGACGAGGAGGAAGAGTAGGAGGAGGACTGAGGAGGGGAGGAGAAGAGGACTGGGGAGGATCAGGAAGACCCAGGAGGACCCAGGAGGAGGAGGAGGAGGAGGACCCAGGAGGAGGAGGAGGACTGAGGAGGAGGACTGAGGATGACTGAGAAGGAGGAGGACTGAGGAGTACTGAGGAGGATGGCTGAGGAGGATGGCTGGGGAGGATGGCTGAGGAGGATGACTGAGGAGGATGACTGAGAGAGAGGAGGAGGAGGACTCAGGAGGAGGACTCAGAAGGAAGAGGAGGAGGACTCAGGAGGAGGACTCAGGAGGAGGACTTAGGAGAAATGAGAAGGAGGACTGAGGAGAACTGAGGAGGAGGAGGAGGAGGACTGAATAGGAGGAGAAGGAGGAGGACTGAGGACCGAGGAGGAAGAGGAGGAGGATGAAGAGGAGGAGGAGGACCCAGGAGGAGGAGGACTGAGGAGGACTGAGGAGGATGGCTGAGGAGGATGACTGAGAGGGAAGAGGAGGAGGAGGAGGACTGAGAAGGAGGAGGAGGAGGAGGAGGACTGAATAGGAGGAGGAGGAGGGGGACTGGGGGAGGACTGAGGAGGAGGATGTAGGACTGAGGAGAAGGATGAGGAGGAGGACTGAGGAGGACTGAGGACTGAGGAGGAAGAGGAGGAGGATGAAGAGGAGGACCCAGGAGGAGGACCCAGGAGGAGGACTCAGGAGGAGGAGGAGGACTGGGGAGGAGGAGGACTGTTGAGGACTGATGAGGAGGACTGAGGACGAGGAGTAGGAGGAGGACTGAGGAGGGAGGAGGAAGAGGACTGAGGAAGATCAGGAAGACCCAGGGGGAGGAGGAGGAAGAGTAGTCCGAGGAGGAAGCATCTAAATGTTATTTCCATTTTTGTCCGTTTTTGTCCGCTCTATTATTTGTCCGTTTTGAAAATATAGGGTACCGAACGGACAAAAAACATGATCCCCCTATAACAGCAAAAATTGAACATTTTATTTAGCAATTTAGGTGTCCATTAATGTCCGCCTATGTCCGCCTATGTCCGTCTATGTCCGCCTATGTCCGTCTATGTCCGCCTATGTCTGCCTATGTCCGCCTATGTCCTGTCCTTAGGAGAAATGAGAAGGAGGACTGAGGAGAACTGAGGAGGAGGAGGAGGAGGACTGAATAGGAGGAGGAGAAGGAGGGGGACTGGGAGAGGACTGGGGAGGAGGAGGACTGATGAGAAGGAGGAGGACCCAGGAGGATCAGGAGGAGGACTGAGGACCAAGGAGGAAGAGGAGGAGGATGAAGAGGAGGAGGAGGACCCAGGAGGAGGAGGACTGAGGAGGACTGAGGAGGACTGAGGAGGATGGCTGAGGAGGATGACTGAGAGGGAAGAGGAGGAGGAGGAGGACTGAGAAGGAGGAGGAGGAGGAGGAGGACTGAATAGGAGGAGGAGGAGGGGGACTGGGGGAGGACTGAGGAGGAGGATGGAGGACTGAGGAGAAGGATGAGGAGGAGCACTGAGGAGGACTGAGGACTGAGGAGGAAGAGGAGGAGGATGAAGAGGAGGACCCAGGAGGAGGACTCAGGAGGAGGAGGAGGACTGGGGAGGAGGAGGACTGTTGAGGACTGATGAGGAGGACTGAGGACGAGGAGGAGGAGGACTGAGGAGGGGAGGAGGAAGAGGACTGAGGAAGATCAGGAAGACCCAGGGGGAGGAGGAGGAAGAGTAGTCCGAGGAGGAAGCATCTAAATGTTATTTCCATTTTTGTCCGTTTTTGTCCGCTCTATTTTTTGTCCGTTTTGAAAATATAGGGTACCGAACGGACAAAAAACATGATCCCCCCTATAACAGCAAAAATTGAACATTTTATTTAGCAATTTAGGTGTCCATTAATGTCCGCCTATGTCCGCCTATGTCCGCCTATGTCCGCCTATGTCCGCCTATGTCCGTCTATGTCCGCCTATGTCCGCCTATGTCCTGTCCTTTTTGGATTCTATGAGACAAGCGGACATAGACGGACGTGACACCCCCCCCCTTAAAAGGATAAATATAAGATTTCACGTGTTCTTATCAATGTGAAAATGTTCAACATTGTTTAAATTTTGAGGATAAAAATATATCATACTCCATAACTATAATGTACCTTAGAAACAAATGAATAGCTGATCTAGCTGTCATAGCACTCATAGAAGCACTCCTTGTGTTCAACCCAAGAGATCCTCTGTGAGCCATGGAGATATCAGCGAGAGATCCTCTTGGTGTGGCAGCCATGTCACGCGCTGAGATGGAGATGGAGCCATGACGTGTTGTGTTAGCTGCACGTGCAGAGGGCGCGCCGTCAGCACGTGTGGAGATAGTATGGCTCACTCCGTCCTCTATGATGGTGGAGGAGTTCCTGGTTCTAGTTCGACGGAGTGACTTGTTACAGTTGCAGGTGTGGGTGTTGTGTAGAGGACAGGGTGTTTTGTAGATGTCTTCCAGGTTCCTGGTCATCGAGTTCTTGAAGTCCTGAAAAGGAATTGGTCTTAGCATAAATTGGTATTAGTATAAAGAATTCTATTGAAGATTTGTAGATGATGTGATGTTAGTGCACGTCACATCGTAACAAAGTAACAGACCTCTAAATTCCTATCATTCCTAATCTACACACCTGTCCATCCACACTCCAGAACATGCCGTCTAAAGCTGTGGTAACAGTTGCTGTCCTCATCGTCTGTTCTAGAACTTCAGAGTCCCCGAAAATGTCTCCTTTATTGAGAATCTGCTGAGTTTCCTCCTCTTTTAGCTCTTTGTTGAACCTTGTCAGTACCACTGAGAGTTAAAACTTGTTAAAACAAGAACCGAACAATACAACGAAATATGAGACTTAAAAAGAAAATGATAAAGTTTAATATTCTTATCTGTAATTACCACATCTTATCAGTGTTGGTCATGTTAAGGTAAATTTCCCTACTGTATTGCCCAATGACTAGCTTGAACTGTAATCGTATCCAAATCAGAAATCTACTCTTAATGAAACCTGTTCCACAGAGGATGAAGTAGACTCTGCCCGGTATATGTCCCTCTCTCAGTAAAACTCTCCCTCTCCCATATCTCTCTAACAGTCCCACCCTACACAACTCCGTCTGTACCTACAGCCATATTATTATTATGTTGTCAGGGAATATAACTTTATTTGTACGGTTTGTTCGAAATAATTGGCCCGGGACAATTAATGCTGAGTTTGCAAAATCAATCGATAATTTGGTTCTGTATAAGATTAAGACATAAAGAAGAATGCATTTACATATTCAGGGTAGGCTCCAAAAGAGTTGCACTCTCGTAGGGTTAATCTGAGAGATCTGATCTGAGCTGTGGTTCTGAGCCTTCTGTTCCTTCCCACTTCTTCTAGATCTCGAGAGAAGAATATCTGAAGATAAACATCAGTTGGAACATACAATAAGCTAAATAGTGGTTTAAAAAGCAGATTGTTTCTGCGCCAATATGATTATGAACTTATCAGGCTCCATGAAAAAATTAACTCAGATAAATGTATCGTACTTGACAGAATGTTATAAAATCTAAAAAGTATGCTTGATAAACAGTTCTTTAAACTCAATTCAAATCGGTTTCTAAAATCACATCAGAAGCATCTGACAGCAAATATAGAATCATCAGTCAAAGCTCACAAACAACTATCTCAACAGAAAACAAAACACCCAGAAAATAGAGCCAGGAGTTGTACAAACCTCCTGTTTGGGTCGCTTAAAGATTGAGGGGTCGAACATGAACTTCCGATCAACTTCAAACTTGTGTTCAAGATATGTTTTTATCTGATCCTGTGTCTTCTCTATCTCCTTACGGGTTACTTCGCTGTTGGGTGGTGTTATTTGTAGTGGCGAAATTAATAATATCTAAACACTGTTCGTTTGTTCCGTTATTCTTTTTCCTTCCTCTTTTCCTTGTCATCCCCTTTAGTTTTAAGATTCTTGCTATAAATGGCTACAGCTAACACTATTAATGCTAAGTACCAAACAACAAGTGGGAGGTGGATCGTTAGTATACCATTAAATCGATTTAACACCGCAATTCCAGTCGCAAGCCTGGGACCACTACTAGCATAGTCACAACATCTACAAAGCTGCCATATAGCCTGACTGACAATTTTCTCGACTGACTGACAATGTTTCTTCTTTTTCCCCATTTAGAATACAAAGATTAGTACATTTTAGCTTATGATTAATATTATATTTTTACCTATAGTTTACCTAGATTCAATAACACGCACAATACTAATTATCTTCAAAGGGGGGGACGAGTCGCGTTTGTGAACACAAAATGTATGAAAGTAATCTAACTTTAGTAAAGGCAACCATTTCCTTCAAACACAATCTGTTGTCAGTGATCATATTATTAATCGGATGAGTTTGAGCATGCAAGTGTTTACCAGCCGAACAAACTATCAAAATAAAGCCACCTAATTCTCAAGCCTTTTGATCTACTGGCCAGTAAATGGTTCGGGAGAAAAATTACTCAACAAAATGACCTTTATTTAGGATAGAGTGGCAGCATATGATTGGGGACCACCTGCAGACATGAAACAACACCTGTCCTTTATCTGCTCAAATTTTTACACCGAAATCGATTACAGCCCAAATTTCTGGTATATATATTTACTATTACTATTATCCAAAGACAACCGACTGATTACATGAAGCTAAAGCTAAAATAACGACCCGCAAGCGGTTAAAAATCTACTGATTCTTCAAGTTGACGCGGGCGCACTCACGAAAAACGTTCGATCATTGTCACCACACAGCTTTTCTCAAAATAATTATGCAACGTTTGAAGTGCGCAACTTTATACAACTTCGCTACAAAACATAGCAACTAATTTTACGAAACTCCCAAACAGGTGCTGAAAACGTGGATAGTCCCAACTTTTAAATAGTTTCTCACATAATAATCTTAATATGCAAATGCTATGCATGTGCAATAGCTATAATAAATAGCCAGCTGCTGTACAGATCGTGAAATTACTTTAAATTCTGTTAAAATCATTAGCGAAATTAGAGTCTGAGCCCAGTAGATCTAAGATTAGGAGTAATTTGACCCGACTCACAGTAAGACCCAATAGAGAACAATGTGTACCCTTCTTTGTTAATGACAATGTTTATAATCAATAATGTCGTTATATCAATCATATTCGTCACTGTTCTATGACAAGAATGATTGCATCTTAGGAGATAGATGTTGTATCTACCTCTATGATTGATCAATGATCATGATGCATATAATAAAAAACAATTGCTTAACTTCTATATCTGACATTATTAAATTGCTATTAATAGTTAACTTATGACTCAATGAATAGGTTTAAAAGCTTATCAACCGTGATTAAGTCACGAGTGATCAAGTAATTGTTGTTCATCATGATCGGTAATTGTTTTTTTTTCCTGTCAATGAGCTTAGTTTTAAAACAATTTAAAAGTTCACTGGTGAATAAGCTAAAACAAACTTATAAACTTACAGTTTCTGAAACTCCGAAGCTACATTGCTGACCATCATTATACACTTTCCAACGTTTTTCCACCTATCTTTCGCCTGGAATTGAAAATAAGTATTGTTGATTTAAAAAGAGATATAGTTATGACAATTTTGAATGAATTAATCACCGATGATAAGGCACGCTCGATAATTATCTTCACCCTATTAAAAGATTACACAATAAACATTTTTCACGGTTTTCCTCCAAAATTGACCGGACATAACAGAGCCGAATCTGGACCTGAAACATCAACATCTTAACTCATATCATTTGGTTTATAACCTTCTGTTTCCGTTTCTTTATATCATCCTCCCTCCGTTGCTTCATATCCTCGTCCATAAAATCCGCACTCTCCTCTCTAAGATCACCCGACTTGTTAAGCACACTACTTGTCCTGGACACCCCAGACAGTCCTCTATTAACACGTTTAACCGAGCTGATTGAGCCGGAAGATGCACGGTACTCTCCCCCAATAGAAGCCCGGTGGTGTGCAGCACTGAAACTCCCCACAGACCCGCGAGTACCCGCAGCTCCATGAGCTCTGAACCCGCTCATAGAGCCGGATCTGGTGCGGATATCAGAGCGGGAAGCCCGGGGAATAACCCCTGGTTTGTGGTGGTCGGGAGATGCTGTGGAGGTGTTGTTGGGAGGTGCTGTGGAGGTGTTGTTGGCGAGGACGGACATTGAGTCCCGGACTCTGTTCCACTGCATGGTATTAGTTATTGGTAACTTGTTATTGGAAACTTGTTGTAGGTAACTGGTGACTTGATGCTGACGGCACTTCTTCACTTTAATTCCTGTTCAACTCCTTCACTGGTCACTGCTCACATTGCAAAGCTGCGGTGACAACTTTTTGTCCTGCTCAGTGGTCAATACTTATCAAGTTAGGAATGCCACAGAGAAGTTTAATTTATGTTTGTGGTTTAAAGCTTTTGTAGTATTGGAACTTTGAGATACAACTACAACAAGTACTACAATTACAACTGCAATTAAATGATGTTTTGTCTACAAATGGTAAATATTGAGGTTTTCAATGAATACTTCTTGCATGTTTTCAGCATAGCAATTCTAAAAGTAATTATTTGAACGTAAAGCATTGCAAAAAATTGAAAGAGCGGAAAGTTTCGATCAATTTAATCATTTAATTCAATGATTGAAGGCAACTAAGTGGAATTAGTGACGATGCATAGCTAAGATCAACTTTTGAATACTAAATAGTGTCAATTGTCAAGCCTTATCTTTAGGAGTCAAAGAAAAAGTATGTTTAACAAAGGAATGTCCGCATAAAAACGGCTTGGTTGTGGTAGTTATAGAATAAGTATCGTAAGTTGTCTTCGTTTGTCGATTGAAAAGTTGGTTAAAAATCGGTCAAAAGTACGATTATTCAACAATACGATGATTCAACAATACTAGTTGTGAATTTTATCTTCTACTACGAAAATTACTTAAAAGCCAACCTAGACGTACTCAGAAAAGAAACCAAATATGACATTGTTCAATTGTCTTTTAACCGATCACATTTCAGCCAACTCTTCGATCGACCGCGATCTGAAGACAAATATTTTACAATTCTAAAAGAAAAGATCAATGTATCGATCAGAACCACTCAACCTCAACATTTGTGAAACAATAAGTCAGCTGGCAACAATTTCGTAAGAAACTAACAAAATATTACCAGGCTGAGCCTGAACTATTACGTGTTGTGTACGTGACAGGCAAAAATCTAACGAGACGATTTTAAAACATATCCCAGTAACAGCCTGTACCGTTGAGTTACTGTTAGAGTAGACTATACATTGAATTTACATTAATTAATGTTTTGGGTCCCCCGGTAATACAGTTAGACTAACTGCAAGGTAATACGCTCCACACTCAGTACAATCTTAAGTCATGTACGATATTTAGGTTATGCCTATGGCATGCGCCCTCATCAATTTCTAGCGACCGAAATCGAATAAATGATAAAAGAATACGGCAAAGATCGATTAAGATCACCGTGGCGTGCATAGCCTTTTACCCGACAGAAAACAATCAGGATGAATCATATTATTCATTAATGAACAGATTAAAAAAGACAGGAGAGTGACTGGAACGGAGGCTGGTTGAAATGGCAGAAATGCCACTTAGAGATCAGATATCTCAATCTCATAGCACAATTCAGCCAACAATCGGTACGAATATTTATTACAGTACTCAATTACCTGCGATCGATAAACAGAAGGTCCGATTCTGCGGCACGAGATCCCGTTTCTCAGATAAACGAGTTAAGACAGCAGGATCCTACTCCTCAGTCCTCAACTCCTCTCTAAGCTAGTAGTAACTAGCACTGGAGGGGGTTCTTGAAACTTTGAAACATATAATTGACACTGGAGGTTGTTGCTAACGAGGCGGCTAATCATAACAGTTTGTAGAACGCCTGGATGACTGAATGATGAGAATATAGCATAACTTTCTAGCCTGCTGTAACTCGGACCATCTTTTACAATTCGTTATCATCTTTAATAGCAGGAATTTTAAGCACATGATTAAAAATCAAAGTTAGCCGAAGAGGGAATCCATTGAATTTGAGGCCAGGCACCGCATTCAAATCCAAATCAAAATCTACCGGAAAAGATCATGACTCTTATCTTGATCTTTAAACAGAAAACTTATCAAGACCAAAGACTTCGCGGTGTTTTTTTGATGAAATCATAAGTAGCTGTAAGTGTAACTGTAAGTTATATTGATTAACAAATTTTAGTAAATGCAGATTAATCGCAAAAAATGAATATATCCGTAAAAACGCTAAATTGGATTCGTACCTCAGCCTCAGTGAAAATATCGCTAGTTACAGATGTAATAGATCCGGACCTCTGTTGCCTTGCTGGTGCAGAGGGAGTCTTAACCTGAGCTCCGCCCCATCTTACTGTTTTAACCGTACCTCTCGCTATGGGATCTAGGGAATTGGTTAACTAGGTGTTATCAGTTTGGTTCAACTAGGTAGTAGGTACGAAGTACGGGCCAGTTACATTTAATTTGGTAATCGAGCAGTTGATATAAAAAATTGTAAAGTGTTGTCAAGTTGGCCTTAAAAATTGATTCATTGAATGTTAAAGCGAACCGGGCGGAGATGTAATCATGTATCACTAACTATCAACAGCAAAATACATTTTAAAATTAATACTCAAATATACAGAGGCCGTAATCGTTTTATTTTCAATCATCTCAGCTAGAATCCAGATGCAGCTGATTTTAATTGAAAACATTAAAAAGGATACCCGGTTCAACTGAAAAGTAAAAACAGTGTACAGTGTAGGACTAGGACCTACACTGTCACTGTAGGTGGGTCAAATTTTCCCATTACATCTGCGGAACTGACAAAAATCTACTAAACTGAAAGAACTGTAAGTTATAATAAAACCGTTAAACTAACCAGAATCCCCTGCGAGTTTAGCTAAATGTCTCCGCATGACCTCTTCGCTGGCTCTGGGTTTCCTGGTAACCAATTAATTTCGCAACCTCATGTCCAGATCTCGCGGAATTAATTGTGTTTCCTTTGCTGTGCGGCAAATTACTGAAATAAATTTTTATTGAACTCCTCAAATGTAATCTAATCAGAACAATTTGAATTCATCGATCACCAAGGGAAAGTATATTGCTATAGTTACCAGCTTAATAACCATAACATTTCGACGGATGAGCGATCATGAGCGTACTAAATGTAATCATGCATGAAACACCCCTTCATTGTTCATTTTACTTTTAGGAATGCAATTGAGTCAAAAGATTTCAATTCTGAGTTGATAGTATTAGTTGATATTCATATTATACTTATACATAGTGTTATAGTGGATGATATATTTTTGTGGATGCGACCACTTTCTTACAGCCACAGCACAATGTAACCAATACTAATAGCTAGCCGGGCCCCACTACCAAGTGCCTTTATCACGGGGCATGTCACAAGTACAAAGGTCCCTATCCTAATCCTAGACTTCTAGTCCTAACTCAATCCTATTTGCATGCACTTGGTACTAATCCTGGTATTAGATTTGAAACTTAGCAGCTGCAGTAATCATAATTACAAAATCATACAGTGCAAGTGAGCCTAAGAGTAAGACTTGACAGGGTCAACTTCAAAGAAGTATTGAATTGATTTGACAAGTTCCTTGTGGCATGAATGACCACGGACGACTTTTGGTTGGGCCGAGAAATGGAGGAAAAGCTTATAAAATCTACCCAATTTGGTGATGATCAACCAACAACCTAATTAAATTTTAATTGTGCAGTAGAAGAAAACCGGATTCAAAATTAGAAATAGGACCGGATAGATTGGGACCAGGGTAAATCAAAGTTTAATCAATTACACTCAGCATATATTATTATTATATTTATGGTGTATTTCACCATGTAGCATATTTGTCATATATGTCACACTGTAGCATATTTGCTTCAGTAAAATGGTAGAAGATGGATAAACAATCTTCGAATCAAGCTTCATGCAGAGATGGATCACTCCATTTTTTAGCATCATTCCAGAAATTGCTTACCTTTTGTAAGTCTCTCTTACTTCTTAGTCTAGTCAATATCAAAAAAAATTCTATATAGATGCGATTGAGCTAGTGCTAAGATGTAAGAATGGCGAAACTATTCAGATTCTGATCAAATGAGATATAATTACACGTACCACAGCATGAGCAACAATAACGGGCATAGTAACCAGGAGTAGTTTGAAACTGAGAACTATACCTCCTACTCAGACTCCAGGTAACCTCATTAACATGTTACCAAGGTGTATTGGTGCTGTACCCGGGCTCCATACAGCTGGCCCAAATACACCCCAACGTCCAACTTAACTAGATACATAATCCACTTAGGACCACTTCATGTCGCATTGTTGACCGTGTTCTCCTCCACTTACTTTTACCATGTCTAGGAATGTTATCGGTACAAAAGTTAATTGTTTTAGAGTGAGAGATCTTGGTGGTTGCTAGAAGTTTTGAAACTTGAGGGTTGTTTCGATGTGTATAGTAGAATTCTGAATTCGTAAAAACGTACGTGATCTAACGTAGGACTGGTAGTAACGAGATTAAAATCAAGCTGATTTAGTCATTTTAATCTAGAACAGACATAGAATTCAACAGTACAATAATAGATCACGGAAGGCCGGATGTTTGATTAGTGATAACCAGGTGAAAACGACTGATTAAAAGTTTGGTCGAAACTAGGACTACATGGTCGCCTTTCATCTTGTATCACGTTGTGCAACCTTGTATCACGTGGTGACCCCCACGGTCGCTTCACTACAGGGGGAGCCGCGCACTTCGTGTCATACAACGTATGACAAGTGCAACCCACGGTCGTTTCACTCGTCCTGACGATACAGGGGGAGCCGCGCACTTCGTGCGCGGCGGGTCATACAACGTATGACAACTTTCATCCATGGAGTGCGCGTCTCAGACGTGATTCGTGGGCAAGTCGAAACTTTAAAACTAGATCAATTTTAAATCTGTATCGACAATATGCCTGCATTTAATTAAGGAGTGTTTCAAGTTAAGGATGTAAATGAAGACCAGTTATGGATATTCATAACACACCCAGTTTTTAAGTACAACTCTTTGGACATTAAATTTCCCTGCGCTTCCACGATACACAAATAAAACGTTAAATTAATGAAACAAATTAGTTGTTATTCTAATTTGACAGAACACATGGGACTGCTCAGACATGATAGCTCTCGTTACTCTCAGATCATAAGTTGACTCAAACGAAACGTTCCTTCAGATACTTTCTCAAAATGTAAAGTACAAGCTGGCCAGCCAATCTTGTCTTGTCCCATCAAATTTTGAAAAGTAAAGAAAAATAAACGTGCCATTGGCATTGAAATTTAAATTAAACAAGCAAAATAATCTGCTGAAATAGATGACAACACTCGGTTTATATTAAGTTGAAGTACTGTTTTCGTCAAGACAACATTTAACAAATATAGAAATCTAGAAAAGTCCTAGTCGAGTTCCATGGACGTTGGATCTGCGGCTGCTGGATCAGCGGCTGCTGGATCAGCGGGAGCTTGAGTCGACTCTGCAGACTCCATGGGAGTTTCTTTCTCGGCCTCTTTTCCCTCTTTCGGCTCCTCGGCAGGCACTGGAGGAGGCTCTACCTTTGGCTTTGACTTGTTGACGATTGGGTAACATTTGTCTTCAAATTCCTGGAAGATTGTTGTGTTGAATAAAATGTGAGAATAATAATAATGTGTTGGATAGAATGTGGCGATGAGAATAAGTTTGGTTACTGAGGTATCTAGAAAATGTAAGTCAGAAACCAGCAATAAAACAACTAAAAACTGCACCTTTCGTTTTTGGTTGATCCCTGCTACTGTTATCTGAACATCCTCATGGAGTTTTTGACTGGCTGCCTTGTTACAGAAATCATTGAAAACTTGTTGGAACTCTGCGTCTTTTTCAATCAGAGTTTTGACATCTTCCTCTGACAAGTGGTCGTATTTCACGTCCTATAGGGCAAAGAATTTTAGTAAAAGTTGGGCTAAAATTAAACAAAGTTATGCAAAAGGAAAATTCTTGTTCAAAATATTTTGAACTTGACTACTGACTAGTGATGGGGAGTAAAATTACCGTAAATTTCAACATGTCTATTCATCCTACTACCAACCTTATTAGCGATAAGATCCAGAACCTTCCTAACATGAACGAGGCAGGAACCAAGGTTGTTCAGTGCTCCTTGCCTACCCTCACTTTCGTTATATCTTGTCATTATTCTGTCCCCTACTTTCTTTAATTCAGCTAACTTGTCAATATACACCTGAAAAACGAATGAAACTTACGATGTGGCAACCAACCTCAAACATCTAATGGAAGAATATTTTTACAGGGCCCATCCGACACTGATTATTTTTCTTCAAAACTTTAACAATTTTACCTGTTTTTGACAGTTTTCACCCTCGTCATAAAGCCAGTTTTCAGTTTTAGATAACTCAGACAAATACACTTCTTTGGCAGACTCCGAAATGAACTTTTCCAGCTGTGAGTAGAGTTTGTCTCTCATATCGTAGACGTACTCCTCTACAGTGTTCTTAGCCATGAGTCTGTCTTTTATCAGCTTATCAGTCGAGATCTGATGGGGGTGAAATGTTAACGAGTAATACGAGAGATGGAAAATTCAGTTTAGTTATTAAATGGTTTCGCAACGATTCACTCCGACTAAATATCTCCAACAGTGCACAATATAAAAAGAGACACGAGAATGAGCGGCTCGTCACACGGTGATAAAGAGCTGCGCGCTTCAGTCAAAATAAGTGTTCGATAACGGCTCCGAACGTTCGTGGTAACACCGCTATAATGTATAACTAACCATAGCATTTTCTCGTTCCCAGGCTGCTTGGAGCTCCTTAGAGGTGAAACCCTTTTTTGATGAGGTCACTTCGAGAGGATTCTGCACCGTCTTGGTCTTCATCTTGGGCTTCTTCTTCTCCTCTGATATAATCTCATCCGCGCCGTTCTCTTCTTTCATTTTCTCTTCTGAATCATTCTGAAAAGAAGAAACAAGTCAGCACAGAGCTCCCTTTGATTTGCCAATCATTGAAATTTGTTGAGGTTATCCTCTATATCATTGACTTGTTGTTTTAAATATAATGCTAGCGCAATTTAACTACCTTTTCGATCTTTTCTGCATTTAAGTCAGCTCCATTTTCGTTGGAGTTGCTTTCTTCTTTCACCTAAGCCATTTGGAGCATTTTTAGGCCCAAAAGATCATCCGTACAATAACAAATGATCACATTCACAGATTCCAATGGAAGGGCTCGTAGTTTCTAAATAGCAAAAAGGTTTTTTCAAGAACTTACCCCGTTTTCTGCTCCATCCTCAGTTTCCATATTATCCCCTTCTTTCTTTTCAGCTTTCTTGCCGTCTTTCTTCTCCTCTTTTTTCTCTTCCTCAACAGGTACTTGAATCTGTTGAAAATAAATATAATGAAAATAGGTACAATTTATCTTAATAGACTCCTTGATTATTTATCATCCAATTTACACGTATTACAGTAATATCGGAATATATTCAGTAAACAAACCTTCGTAACAGTATGAGCAGACTCGACTGTGAATAAACTGTGGATGTCCACCTTCACCTTCACTTTGACTTTAGTACTGGAACCGTCCTCAGCTGGCTTTATTGGACCAACCTCAAATCGTCCTGTGAGGATAAATAACGTTATTTTGTATTTATTAACTGAATACAAAATAAATAAAAAATGATAAGTTTGAAAATTGAACATGAAACTCAATAACACAGTCGACCAACCTATTACAGTTTGTGTATGAGGAATTGGGTTTGAGTAGGACGCTTCAAGGATTAAGTTTTCTTTCCTGTAGAATGTGAGCATTTTGGAGAATGGGAACACGTGACCCTTATTAAACACTTCCATGTCACCTGAAAATAATTATTAACTGTCAGATGACAACGAAACATATTGTTTGAGGGTTTCGTCGTTGTCAGACACGAATACGACGTTTCTTCGAGATCATTTAATTTTTATCAAACTACAGAAATCATTTAAGGTGATGAAAACGACTTGGTCAAGGAAATATGGCGTTATTATGAAGACTAACCTCCTACAGAGCCGTCAGGATTGTACCAGACAAGTTTAATTCCGGATTGAACAACGTCGTTGATAGCAAAATCCCTGACTTTGAAAGCTGGAGAGAGGATAGCACACTGCAGCGCGCATCCACGTGCAGTGGAATCGTCCGCGTTCAGTGTCGTGGAACAGGTCTTGTGCAGCACTTCTTCGATAATTGTCTTACATTTGGGGATTCGAGTGGAACCTCCTACAATTTCTACAGAGTCGATGTCTTCGATTGTAAATGCTGATGAAGAGATGGTTACAATATCAAATTTTCGGAAAAATACATCAAATTATAGGACTTGATGTAAACAAATTTGTAAACAGCCACAATATAATGATCTTGGTGTTCCCTTATATCTGGAGGTCATTTATTTTAAATATTACGGGAAAACATACTTGCGTTATGAAGAAGTTCCTGCAACAAATGTCGCAACCTCTCAAACAAATCGTGGGAAAGTTCTTCAAACTGCTCTCTACCCATCCTACCACTCACATCTATGTCGTTCATAAAACACTCTGAAACAAATTCACTTTAGGGGAATTTCGCAATTAGACAATACAATACACGGTCAATAGCGGAGAATGGGGGTAACTTGTATTTGATTCCAATTTCCAATATAAAAACATTAACGTCAATTATTAGATATAAATTACAAAATATCAATATAGACTGTAGCCATTAAATCAGTCCAGCTCACCAATATTGAGAGGAATAGATGTGGTGTTAGCGCTCATTGTCTTCTTCAGCTTCTCACATTCTGTCTGCAACCTCATCGCGGCTCTTGCTCGTGAATCCACGTCGATGTTGTACTTTTTCTGAGGGGATTTTCTAGTCAAGGTCCAAATTTTATAACCAACCAGAAACATGCCATAATTATGGCAGCCATTTAAGTTATATCTTTTACAGCGAATAGTAATGATCCCCAATTATCTTTAAAGGGTCGTATTTATCATAATTAACAAACCATGAATTCAACTTTGAAGAAGTTGCAAATGCGCTCTCCGAAGTGTCGTCCACCCAGCTGAGGGTCTGCCAGAGACTTCTTCACTTCCAACTTGCCCTTGTTAAAACCAACTGCACTGACCTGAAGTTATTTTCGGATCATCACTCCGTTAAACGTAGCGTTGGCGCGATACAGCAAATTTGTTAAGAATGCTAAGCGACAGGATGTCGCATTGTGACGGTCGCAACTGTCCAAAGTAAAGTGGGTGTCATGTGATCCGCCGTTCCGTCCAACCTTTTTGGAAAGTACCGCCGTACCGGCCTCCGCTGTACCGTCCTCCGCCGGACTGTACACCGCCGCAGTGACTTCCGCCACTGAGTCCTATACCCGATTCCCGAATATGTGACAATGAATTTCCAAACTATAAAACCATTGACACCTCCTCATTACAATTTCTCACCTGAGTATCGTTATCACCGATATCAACGAACACGACAAGTCGAGCTTTTTCTTTTTCAGCTGGGAGGTCCTGAAATCATTTGTTTATGTTAAAAATGAAAACTTACAAATTGCTTACTTCTTTTAGAAATCAAGGGAAAATGTGGCAAGTAAAATATATTTTTCACTGCCACAAAGTACAGCAATGTAGCACTGTTTGTAACGCACGACACTGCTAGACGACCTACCTGTTTGTATATTCCATAAGCCAAAGCTATAGCGGCGGAATCGTTCATGAGTCTCAAAACGTTCAAACCAGCTGTTTTGGCTGCAAATACCATTGCTCTTCTCTGATAATCACAGAAATAAAGTGGAACCTGAGGAGAGAAAAGCACGTTTAGATATTTCTTCATTTGTATATTAAGTGGGTCAGATCGTTATCACTTGTCTCTGAACGTTCTTATCAATGACTCGCAGTTAACGAGTGTAGTAAAGAATAGATAACTAGTAATACATTGTTATTAAGTTAAAATTTAAGATAAAACTCATAATCCTGCTTGTTAAACCAATGAGTAGTTTGGAGCTATCTTCACTTGTTTCGGTTCATAGCGAAATCTCTAAGTTATGATCATTTCCTAAGCTTAAATTTCTAGAATCAAGTTATACGTTCATTAAAAACAGATCCTAAAGACAAATTTTCACGTTAATACAAAATTAAAGCCTTAGGCATGTAATAATGATCTTAGACCGAAAAAAAAAGATTCTATGCGATAGCGTAAGTGAGTGTTTGCATTGTTAACATTCCAAAGTCCATGTTAAAATCAACAGCTTTGTTTAAATTATGGTTCTATGAATTCTCGATTCTTCTGCGATGATTGATTACGTGTGACATTCCATTAACTTACCGAGATCACACAGTCGTTGACAGCAAATCCAAGTTTGGCCTCTGCAACCGTCTTCAAGTACACTAGAAGGGACGAAGTCACATTTTCTGGGGTCAGTACGATTTGTTTTTCTTCGTAATCGACCTGAAGACAAAGGATGTGATATTCTATGATAATTATTTGCGGGTCACTGCACGTGTCAATTTTCGTGTAATACTGACCGAAACAAATGACATAGCTAACGCAGAATGGTGAAACCGTAAACACGAAGTGAATACGCTTCTTTAATATGTAACACTTCTGGGAATATCGAATTGCAACTGAGTCCTTTCTAGATCTACGTAATGCTAGGATACATTGGACGAATCTTCTAGAAAGAAAGAAATATGAACAGCGAAAATTCGGGAACGCGCACGCGCGTTCCCGAATTTTCGCGAAATCTCACGTGGTATATGCCACTGCAAATTACCTTTTGTGCATCACAGTTTTCGCGCGCTACAAAAAGAACACAAATAGCGCGCACTACGGACGGGGATACGAAAGTATTGAGGCAGCTACAATACAACAGTAAAACCCCGATTTACCGCAGAGTTTGGGGGAAAGAAAACAGCCGCGGTAAATCGGGGTTTCCGGTAAATCGGGGTTTTGTTAGTTTACATTGTGCATGTTAAGCCCTTTTTGGGGGAAGGAAATGGCCGCGGTAAATCGGGGCGCGGTAAATCGGGGTTTTACTGTAGCATCAATTTTCAGACGAACAGATATCGTGAATGGGCAGAAACTACAGAGGTAATTTGGACGAAAATCACTAGGTTTCGGTGCCGGATTCCGTTGATATGTGGAATTTGCACTCATCAGTCATAACAGAAATACTAAATTTCGCACAAATAGGTTAGCAAGTCTCATATAAAAGATAATAACTCTAAATTAAAGCAAGTTATTCTAATTACTCATAAAAGATAACATTCTTACCCTGAAGCCGATGGCACCGTCATCTTGCTTTTCAATGTCATTGAACATGGCCTTGAGATTCGTTTGAATCATAGGATCGTCGAACTCTCGTCCAATAAGGGGATTGAAACCATGAAGAGTTGATTTGATGTTACTGGTCATCTGAGGAAATTTTACTGGATTATTCTATGTTGCTGATAGAATCATGTTAAAACATATTTCAAAACCTTTAAGGTGTATGATATTCGTGATCTAGTATTGCTTTGAAAAGTTTCAGTTATTCCCCCTTATTAAAATTATTCTTGTTTGACCGAACACTTTCATAAAAATCATACACCTCAAGTAAAAACACTAACATGACCTGAACAAGAAGGGTAGTTGTAAGTTGGTACCACATATTTCACCAACATTCCCGTGATAGTTAAGGAGACATATACCAAAAGCTTTTATGCTGGGACCCGAGATTTGACTTCATATTATTAAAGTATACATAAAAACAATAAGATTTGATACATCCAAATTTATTTTTGAGAGCACTCACTTTCGGAAAATTTTTTTTCAATTTGGAGAAGTCTGACACTATAATATCGATATTTCAGTCATTTTAAACGTTTTTTTGGCTGATTTTTTATTGAACATTATTTACAATCCGTACAAGAAGCCCTTCAAGGATTAAGGAATTTTATAATTAAACAATAAATGACGAAGTTACAGACCAAACAAGGTCGAGAAAAGCAAAATTGAAATTTTTGCAAAAAATCAAAGTTTTATATTTTACCAATCACCCAGGCCCAGATCATAAGATATCACTTCGAAAATTCTTGTGAGTGTAGCTGATGATCATATCCAATTTTTTGGAACAGGATTTCTCTCAATTTTGAGTTTTAAGGTATGAAATCTGGCCTCAAAGGACTTAGTAAGATTCATTGTAAAAAAGGGCCAAAAATGGCAGATTTAAGGCTTAAAATGCCTATAAGTATAACTGAAAAAGTATCAGTTTTTTTGGGATAATTTGTACAAAATCGTTATCAGCTTGATGAGACCAAAAAGAAATATTTTTTTTCGAAAGTGAGTGCTCTCAAAAATAATTTGTAATGTATCAAATCTTATTGTTTTTATGTATCTCTACTATAATTCAAAGAATTATTCTGTATGTACGACCGCCCACGTGCAAATCAGACGAGAAATAGGAATTTAGGTAACAACCAAAAGGTTCCATAGCAACGGTGTTTTAATGCACACATGCACGTGCAAAGATTGTTTTAACGTCATTTTTATCAGTTTTGTGGTAATTACGTTGTGTTTAAAGTGTTTTATATTTAAATCGGCTGTATCTTCGGTTGAGATGGATATTTTTTGATGCGATTAAAACTTTCTTTCAAAGAATACTACTAGCTTCGTCCCTGTTACCACGGGCTTTCTAGTACTTTAATAATATGAAGTTAAATCTCGGGTCCTCATATTGGACAACATGTGAATATGCGGTACTATTCCAGAACACACAATAACGTAGTTCATTATAACCTGGCTTTTAGCGGACAGTGCCATCTTCCTGCCGTCAGCACAAGCTCCGTAACCCACATAGGTCCTGAAAATAGAGTCCTATTTTAGGGAAAGATTTTTGTAATATAGAATAGGAATCGATTGTGTAACTACACTTAAACTGTTAATTTTCCTTTACTTTAAAGTAAGTAGTACAGTTCAATTAATGTTTCCAGACTTTGAGACGTCACGTGGGTAACGTGTGACACAAGATGACTTTGTCACGTTTATGGAATGTATGGAATGTATGGAATGTAGGACTTTCCCAACCAACGCAAGTGTAACGGTATTCTAATATCCAACACGGTTTGTGAGCTCAGAAATGTTGCTAACCTACGTCACTCGATTATGATGACGAGGTAAGCAACTTTTACTTGTTGCGAAATATTTCATTACTGGCTAATTGCATAAATAAAGTTCATAACTGCAATATTAGGTACATGTTTTACGTCAATGTGGTGACGTCATTGATGTTACGTTTCAATTTTAATGCCCAGAATAAAAATTGTATCATTTTATAATCCAGTCTCATAACACTGCGTAACTACAGAACTATTATAATCAACTCGTAGATTTACTACTAAATATAAAGATAGACTACAGCTATATAATATACAGTGTACATTTATATTTAAATATAACTACAGCACGGTACATTATTTTATCAGCTTAAAGCTTACTACTTTTTGGACCGCTTAAAATAGGATAATTTGTACTATTCTGTAGGTTGCAGATTGATTTCATAATTGCTATTAACATATTTACATGCATGTATACTATTCATTGATAATTCGCGTGTTTCCCTGCCACATTTAATCGATAATTTTGTAATTTGACCAAAAACTTAAATTAAACTTTTTCGACTTTAGTTTCAATAAGCCGATGAGTGGTGTATAAATGAGCTTTTCATCTTGAAGCGAAACAAATTCTCCATATTATGGAGCTAAGATGTGGATTAGCTTCACCTAAAACGTTTCCATGAACCTCAACAAATGTAATAGATTTGTAGTGTTGTTGTAATTGTGATGAGCGTTAGTCAGTAATGATAGTATACACTATACAGCTGCAGTCGCCCCAAGATATACCAGCGTAGGTTCTTAAGATTGAAGGTAGTCACTAAACATATTTAATAAGCATGAAAACGACGTATCTCGAGGCAGGTGACCTCGAGATACGTTGTTTTCATATGTACATGACTACCATCAACCGTAGTGTTGTAATAAGTTTAAATTGTTGAATACATTGAAATCATCATCATGTCTGGAATAAATTTTAAACTAAGAGACAGTCAATTCTCAAGTGCTTATTTTAAAATGTAATCAACAACAAGATTTTAAATAATGTTAAAATAAACGATCATCCATGCTTCGAATATGACACGAGAAATAATTGTTATACTTAACAGTGATTATATGGTAATTAACAGTAATTATATCTACTGAATGAGATCTACTCACGGATTATCTCTCTTGCTGTACTCGTTATCGATAATCTCGATACCTCCGCCCCGTGCAATGCCAATGAAGCATGAGCTGTAACCAATATCAAATCCAACAACTGACGAGATCATGGCTGAGCGTCCTGGCTAATGATGGGTAAAATGGTTAGTGGCATTAAGATGGGAACAATATGCGAAGTTATAGATTTGACAAGTTTAATACCTGCTTAGTTAAACTTTTATATTAAGAAATATTAAGTTCTTGATTTTATAAGAAAAGTGAAACCAAAACAATACAGATTCATGGTTAGAATTCAGTATATCAGCAATTTAACATTAATGTTTTAAATAAACCTGAGCAATAAATACTATATAAGTTAAGCCTCAACTAAAACTGCTTTGTATTATGCCTGTCACATTGAATTCCGAAACAATGAGCACAATAATCTTAAATCCATCAGAAGGTATAAAAAGTCTGCTAGACACAATCCGTTACCCAAGAGGTTAAAAACATTAAAAAGACAATGAAAAAACAAATCTGCTATATAACTTAAACCATCATACTTCAGCACTAAGATTCTCAACGATTTTGTCCACACTTTTAAGGAACTTCTCAATAGGAATCACAAGAATGCTCCTATATCCCTGCCATGCATTATCACAAGGAGTATTGCTGACAGGAGCCAGCGTCTCGTCCTTTATCTTCCACGAGATCAAGTCAGTTGCTACCTCTGACAAACTGTCCAGTTCTGAACTCTGAAATTTAATTTTAGGAGCTGCTAATCTGCTTTTTTTGTTGCGCCTTTCTTCTGGCTCTACATATGATTTACCGAATATCATCAAGTTTTTGACGTTGTATTCTGGATTTTCTTTCCTTTCTGTGATCAGTTCCATTTTTAAAGCTTTGTATAACTGTGCTGTAATCTGTAGAGGAAGATTTGAAAATTTGGCATTTATCAGAAAAGCAGAGTCTTTTGATTTCAACAATTTTTCCACACTTGCCAACACATCACTCTCACATTTAGCAAGAAGAGATGACGTAAGCTGATCAAATTTAGACTTGTCTTTGAACAAACTGAGAGGGAGTAGAGACGCAACAGCAAACACAGGGTCATCTTCACCCTCTGCAATGTCAGCACCCTTGATGACAGTACCAACTTTGTAATTGTCTATCAATGTTTGTGAGAAATAGCCAACATCAACTGAAATTCCCTGAAACAAGCTGTCCAACAAGGCCCGGACTCCAGACCAATCTTCATCTGCGGGCGGGTAAGCCTCAAATTCAACTATATGTGTAAGTTCAGTTGCTGCAGGCGGATCAACTTGCATTGGAGCACCCTCGTTATCAGAGCTGCTCACTTCTTCTGACGAGGAAGTACTGCTCTCATTGTTATGGGTTATCATTTCCTGTTATTTTTATATGAGACTGATGTTGAAATATCTTTAAAGATTGTTGTGGCCTGAAAAAGGGGAATTTCTCACCATTTCTCAATCTAATATCACTAATAAAACTAATTAAATTATTTTTACATAGAATTAATATCCATTATTGCTTTTAAGGGGGCCGGGGGGGGTCTTCATCAAAATTCTCTCGAAATTGACTTTATAGTTGTTTCTGATAGAGGGGAGTGATATCTATCAGCTGTTTTTGGTCCCATGGAAAAATATTGTTCTTAGCCGAAATTATTGCCGGTCAAAGGTCAGCGCTTATGTGTAATTGTATTGCGCGAGCGATTTTGAATCGCGCGCCCTGAAAATCGAGTCTAAAAATCTATCTTCTCCTACATTTTTTGAGCAATCACCCTGAAACTTTCAGGATATGTTCTAAGGACCATTTAGAAGAGATTGTCGGGCCAGAATTTTGAGATAGGCCTTAGAACATTTTTTATTCGATTTTGAAAATCTTGGACCTGAAAAAATCGTCAAAAAACGAGGTCCAAGATTTTCAAAATCAAATAAAAAATGTTCTAAGGCCTATCTCAAAATTCTGGCCTGACAATCTCTTCTAAATGGTCCTTAGAACATATCCTGAAAGTTTCAGGGTGATTGCTCAAAAAATGTAGGAGAAGATAGATTTTTAGACTCGATTTTCAGGGCGCGCGATTCAAAATCGCTCGCGCAATACAATTACACATAAGCGCTGACCTTTGACCGGCAATAATTTCGGCTAAGAACAATATTTTTCCATGGGACCAAAAACAGCTGATAGATATCACTCCCCTCTATTATATCAGAAACAACTATAAAGTCAATTTCGAGAGAATTTTGATGAAGACCCCCCCCCCCCCCCCCCGGCCCCCTTAAACTTCTTAGTAGTTAGTACCAAATAGATGTGGGCTTAAGCATAAATTACACCTTCTAGAACACTGCACATTCAAAGAGCACAATACTGAGAACCTCATCAGGTCATGTACTACTTTACACCTTGATAATGTATGCTTTAGTATAGTTATGCAAATCTTTAAGATACAATTCTAAACCACAAAGCTTTTGTGGCAAAATTCAATTAAGGAGCAGCGAGCAAACACTCTAACTACAAAAGGAGGCTATCTGCGCCATTACAGCTGCTGTCACATGACATACTTACGAATTCGAATTTAAACTTTTTCAATCCATTTGATTGTATCAGGATGTTCACTGTACATGATTGCTATCAAAATTAGTGACATGCGTATACCCAAATAGAGGCATATGGCTTTTAGTTCTACTTAAATTTTGTTTTACTTTAAATTGGGTGAAAAAGAACCAAATATGAGCCTGGGTTCATAGCAGTGGTGGGCTTTTGTAGACCATGCGACTCCCAAAGTTTGGTTACAAGTATAATTTCCCACTTTGCAGATGGAGAAACTGCAAGCATATTATGGTAGCCTGCAACTTGTCACCGAATAACAGACGATACAACTGGAGGCATGACAACGTGCTGCCAGTCAAAAAGGATTGAAGCGAGAAGTTCAACAACAAAGCATTCAAACTTGAAGTACATAAGTGGACAGACTTCAAGTCTTACTAAGCAGTAGTTATCAAAGACCAGACTTTAAGATGAGGAGAGAGCCCTTTTAAGAAGGAGTATGATTGGCAGATGGTCTGCGATGAGGATGATCTCCCAACACATCTTTGGGACAGCGGGGATACCTAATATTGTAAATTGTTGACAAAGGAAAGATGGTGATGTAGAGATGATGGTTGGTGAAGAGTATTACCAAGTAGAATGTAAACAAGCACGTCAGAACAAAGAGCTGCATGGCTTCTTAAGGTAGAGGTTGGGTGTAGACTGTAGAGGCTTCTGGCATCATACCTTACCGATGCAATCCTATTTAACTACTTTTGTGTGACTAAGAGTGTGAAGAAAACAGTGATCCAAGAGACGGCTTTAGTCGCTAGCAATTGATCCTATGCAATCTGGCTAGCAAGAGAAAACATGAAATGGAGTCCCTGTACTGCTACAACATCGCACAAAGACACACGTTTCTACCGTCAACTGAGTGAGCTGAGTGTTGGGCACTTAAAACAGTTTAAAGCCACACCTGGAATCTCAAGTACCAGGATCACAGATGGAAGCTAAGCAGATGTATAAACGGAGTTGCTATCTGGAGATATAGAACTCGGACATCCAATAACGTTCCTTTATGCTATAACTTATTCATAGTATTTTCTTGGTCAATTGTTATCTCGAAAACAAGTTTCACAAAATTTAACTGAGACTGGGTGTTTAAAAATTTGAATTAACAATTAACACTATTGTGGAAGTTGCTTTAAGTAATAGCCCTCTCGAGCTTGTAGTAGTGTGTGCTAAAAAAATCAGTATACACATAATGTCACAATGACCCTATATAAAAATAACCCTTCAAAAACTCAATATTTTGAAAATTACCCTTGGCCTTGCGGCTCCAAGTTCAAATCTAAACTGTCTATATTGACAAAGTTCTTTCTCGCCCCTCTGTGCTAAAAAATTGCGTAATGTACGTAGACTCATGGTAAAATGAACTGTGGTAGCAAGAAGATCGAGAGTTATTTCATATTTTGTTCATTGTTGCGCGGCGCGGCCTGAACAAATATTGATACAACATACGAATGGCTCATATTTTTAAAACATTTAAAAATATTTTTTCCAAATTTGACAGTATGCATGGGTTGTTTCAGATCACGTTGTAATATTTAATTTATGTTGAATCAATTTTGTTGCATTGCTTTGATAATTGATCATATATCAGCAGATATTCAATATTGTTATTTATTAAGCTGTATGCGTGGAAAATATATTTTAATTGGCTGTATTTTTAATTTTGGTTGTGATGATATTTTTTGATAAGCAATTTCTTTATCTAACAACAAACTTTTAATTTTAATTTAATGTAACTTTTTACCAAGCGTGCCTGGCTATATGCGCGGCGCTCTTTTCGAGATCCTTCATACAGCCCTAGCCAGGGAGAGGAGCGAGCAATACAAATTAGCAAAATAAGTAAATAACTTTGAAGTTAAGTTTACATTTTATAATCTACCAGGACGGCAGAACGCGCGCTGATCAGTACAATTGAATTCGTTAATTAAATGGTCTTGATCAATATTTAAAACAAATATTTTACAAAGCATCACCTTGCTCTATCCAGAGCCTTTGCGCTTGCAGTAGCGCGCGCCCGCCTTACGGCGGTTTTCTTGACTTGTGAAACAAGCGCGCCCGAAGTGGCGCGAAAGCACATGGTTAGGCGAAAGCTTAACGGGTGATACTCGTAAAATATCTGTTCCATATATTGGAACCGTCGACAAGTCCAACTCGGCGCGCGTCCTGGTAGGTTGTAAACCTACAAGGCGAAAGCATCACCCGGTAATAATTAATTTATAACATATTTTCATTATAATTGATGACTTACAATTTATTTTTATTATTGGATTTTAACTTTTTTTATTGCAACATTCTGCATTTGCTTAAAAATAAATTTTTCCTTCTATTTAATTATTTTTGATACATGTTTCGTATCCAAATATGATAAATGGCATGCAACGTATGTCAAAATTGTTTTATCGAATTATTTTTGTACAAACTAATGGACAATCAAATTTACAAATTAAGTTGAATTTACCTGGGGACCCCGGGCTATTATATTTATGTTCAAAGTCATATGAAGATTAACGGGTGCTACTCGTAAAATATCTGTTCCAGGACCGTCGACGAGTCCAACTCGGCGCGCGTCCTGGTAGGTTGTAAACCTACAATATGAAGATTGATTCACGATGTCAATCTAATCCTTCGGAGCTCGGTGCAAGGCCCAGTTCATCTCGCCGATCTCTGATAGTTTAACAAATATGGTTTTCTGTACGTCCTGGTGTCATTCGAATTGAAGTTTGGTGATCGTTACAAATTACAGATTAAATTTGTTGTCGTACTGGTATCTTGTGGTGAGGTGATTTAGTAAAACAAAAGATATGATGATATTTTTGGTGAGGAAGACCGTCCTCTACAAGTAACTCCTCTGGTAGAAATGTAAGCCTGTATGGGCTAAGTTATGTTTATAGCCCATAGCCGATTGTCAAACATGTTTACAAGATCTGACATGTAAGACATAACAGTCTTATCTCAATTTGCCTTTGCTACCCTGATGGTTTTTGCAAACAAGTATATTCTGCAGCTGATGAGTCACTTATTGTTCAGTCTGCAAAGAAATTGTTTATAGTTACTATTTATAAAACTAGTGATTCAACGGGGCTCAGGAAAGCCCTGCAGGTACCTGGGTCATAAATGGGCTCAATTTACACTGTCACTGAAATTAAACATAGGAATAATAATACTTTGGATCTACAGGGTGGGTCAAAAGTCAGTACGCATGTACGTTGGCCTTAATAGCTCAGTCACTGAGTGCCAAATTGTAGTAATTCTTTCTGGTATGACTTTCTACCACCATTGGTTCGAGAAATTTGTCAACTCACAAAATATTCGTGTCCATTTTTTCGAATGAAGGTTCATTTTTGCATTTATTTGACAGTTTGGATAGTCGGATTGAGCCAAATTTTATTGAATTGTGTTTGGCTATCTCAATTATGTTTGTCCTGAAAAAATGAGAGTTGTAGCTTCTCGGATGATTAAGATATGAAGCATAACGAGTTAATTCATTACGTGTGATCAGGTGATTGGCTTACCTTATCACGTGATAAGGTGACCCTGTTAACCACCCTGTTAAACATTATGGGAATCATTAAGCCTGCTCAATTAAGGTGTCTTGTCACGGTGTCACATAATAGCTTAGTCAATTTTGTTAACGAGATATACAAAATACTTGATAACTTCGTCATTTCAAATCCGTTTCATTTAATAACATTTAATAATCTACCGTTTCTGAAAAAATTTGGCATCCAGCATGTTCAGAGAGAACAACATAAGTGTTTTAATATTGAATGGGCGTGGTCTAAAATATTCGAATTTTCAAATTTTGGCGACGGAATCCTCAAGGTACAGTATGCCATCTGCAAAGCAACAACTCTCAAATATAAAACACGGCGGAGGTATTTAAAGACCCAACGTATGGGTACTGAATTTTGAATTAAATGGTGAATTAAATGGAGAAATTCATAACTAGAACTTGTAGTAATTACGAAAATCTTAAATCTATAAGTAAGTTATAAGTAATCAAAACTACTGTAGAGGGAGAAAAATTGTTTTTTCTCAGTAAACCATATCCAATATCCATTAGTTTATAATTAATTGGCAGAAGTACTGCAAGTTTTAAGGAAAGTGTCTTCTAGACGAGGATTAAAGTTCATCAGTTCCTTTAGTTAAAGTGTAAGTTGTGACATATATTCTCACTCTTGAGTCTCAAAGCCTTGACAAGTCCTTGAATTGAGCTTTTGCAACTCACTACCTTTAGAAATGCCTTCTATCTGAGCACAAAGATGAATGTGTAAACCTGTCAGATGCGGCATTTCCCCGAGTTTTTTGTTACGTTTCGCCACTGCCACTGTCATCTTCCAAATCTGCCACACTAAGATCTAAAATAAAACATACCCTTGCACTTTTAATTTTAGTCCTGTTGACATATAAACTGAAAGTTATAATATTAACTCTTAATCTTACTGTTAATATCATAACAGATTTTGGAGATAATTTGTTTACACTTACCTGATTTAGATAATGGCAAACATGCACAGAAACCTCTTGCCCCATCAAGAATGTCATATGATGAGGCGAAGAAACGAGGATTGTCGGAATGATTTACATCTCACTTCAGCTGGTAAGTTATTCAACAACTTTTATTTTTTATCAAATATTTTCAAATAAGTTAGGTTGTACAAGTTTTGCATGACCATTGACCACCTATACGTCTTTTACATTTCTACTAAATCAGAGCCTAACATCAAGTTGACACTGATGATTTTACAACAAAACTCTGGTTTGTTTGACATCACATTAGTCAATAACTGAGAAGTTTTGCTAATTAGTGTTGTGCTTATAATATTATTTCATCTGATAATCTAATCCCTCCAGGAATGGGTCAACATCCTAGTCATATAAGTTCAACGGGTGTGGAATTACACTAATTACACTATTAAGCTGTTGTTGTACTTTTAGTCTTTCTCTGCACACATTTGCCCTATTAGCTTTTTACCACACTTTTCTGCACAATTTTTGCACATTCTTGAGTATCTAAAATCCATGTCCACTCCAAAATTTGGGAGATTATTTCATTATAACTTCAGAGATCTTTCCACTGGGTACTGCTGCCTGTATTGAGATTAAATCGTTGTTGATTTTCATAATTAACTGTTTCAACATCACTAGGAAAATTTAACATATAGTTCATCGTAATTGGATAAGCCTATTGATTAACTGTGTGAAGAAAGTTTTTCCTTGTTAAGCTCATTTCCCAAAAATGCTGCACTCAAGCTGGATTGCAATAATTGTAAAATTCTGCTGCAGTTGTACAGGGTCCGGGACTCTAGGGCGTAAGACTCTAGGGCGTGAGACTTTAGGGCGGCGCCCTAACCCTAACCATCACCCTAACCCTAACCCTAACCCTTATCCTAACCCTAACCCTAACCCTAACCCAAACCCAAACCCTAACCCTAACCCTAACCCTAAGACCCTAGAGTCTTACGCCCTAGAGTCTTACGCCCTAGAGTCCGGACCCCAGTTGTACAATAATTCTGATTTCACATAACTGAATTAAATTCCTTCAGGTGTAGGACAAAATTCCAAGTTGCGACCACGTGATCCACCTTACAACGACCAACACTACCAAAGTGCTGGACAGGGCCTTATTTACAGGAACTTACCTGCTTTCCCTCCCAGACATTTCAAGGTTTGCTCCTAGCCTTATTTGTTATCCTATCTGTTTTCTTGTCATTCTGAATCAGTTTGTATCATTTGTAGAAACAAAGGAATTTATTTACAACTTGATATAGAAGATAAATCCTTTACTCAGGTATTACTAAGTACTAATACCGCACTTCTATAGCTGAATGGGCAAACCCTCTAGCTCTTACAGTCACACGAATAGCTAGAATTTATTGGGCCTAGAAAAGCATTATAAGTCGCTGTTGCCAGGGAAACAAATTGGAATAGTGAACATTAATTCCATTACCGAGAACTCATTTGATTTTAATACTTTAGTACAGTGAATGTAACTTCACTTATTTGAACTCCGAGTCAGTCAGCAAGCTTTGAACAATTACAAATCGAATCAGTAAACGTTAATGTCATTACCAAGAACTCATCTGATATTAATTAGTACAGAGAAGTACAGTCTCTGAACATTAACTATAGGGACAAAGTAGGATTAGTAAAATCTGAACACAACATTATCAGAAACCAGAAGTCACAAGGATAATAATAATTATGGCAACAAAGAATATTTTCTTGTTTAACTCCAGTCTGCCCCAAGTCTCCATCTACTAAATCTTAAAACAACACCCCTTATTTTCAGCACACAATAGATGACCTGCTACCCCACGGTCTAGCCAAGTCTCAGCGTCCTGTGATAAGTGACCACTATCTGACCACTACAGCGCAATACCATGACAGAAAGCGCGGCTCACTACCTGACTACAAGCGTGCAGGCGACAGCGACAAGGTGCTGTATATCCAGGAGTTTGCTAAGAAGTTGGATGAGAGGAGATGGAGACCTCCTCTAACTATGGGGTGAGGAGTATTATCTCTCAGTTTCACTTTTACTTTCAGTGTCATTCTCAATTTCACTTTTTGTTCTTTTATATCTTGAAATTATCTGCAACCACTGGAAACTACTCTTACAGACGTGGATGAGTAATATAATATTAACTACTTGTATCTATTATGCTTATCTGTGTATCCGTTTATTACAAGTTAATCCACACATTTTATAAACGTTTTCTTACTTGCTACCCTGCTTGTTATATATAGCCTTATTGTAAAGTTTATTGTTCAATTTAATGTTATAATTATAAATCAGCTTTATAATTATAAATCAGCTTTGTTCCCTGTTTTAAAGCTAAAATAATTCGTCTCTCCAGTAACCAGAAGTCAGAGTGTCAAGACCAGTACAAGGGATTGCCGGTAGTTGAGATGAAGCAACCTGATCGTGGCCCTAAACCCTTCCAGCTACGACAACACGACTCTAACGGACCAAGCAAGGTTTTTGCTAATTGTTAAATTGTTAAATTTCACTCCGAGAATTATACGTATCATTAAAATTAAACAAAGAAAGTATGACGAAAAATTCCGCAGAATTGTTCATGTTAGTACAATATTTTTACTGATTTGCTGGGTCGTGGAAAGCTGAAATTTGTATCGAGGTTTTCTCCGGATATATTGCTTCCAGTATCTTGATGACGACTTGTGTCACTCTCACCGACTGATTGGTCACTGGTCAAAAGTTCAATCAAAACCGCGAAATTTCGGTCAAGGGAGGCAGAAAAGCTCCTCTTCAAAAATCTTCAAAAATCTCATTTTTAAAATTCTGATGATTTTCCGTTTATCAAAGCTTTCTTTGGGAATAAAAATTTGAGTGTACCTCACTCGTGTCTTGTGCCATCCTCAGTGACCTTGTAATATGTTCATTCGAGGAAAATTCAGTAAAAACAGTAAAATTTTGGTTACGGAAAGCTGAAATTCGAATATGTCCTACCAGTAGTCCATATATTCAATATTTTCATTGCCAAAGAAACGACCAAAAGGTAGTAAACCCCTGATTTTCTCAGCGAATGATACCAACGACGCAAAACAAGCAGACATCAGGAAAAACCTACTATGCTGTAGATCAACAAGTTCTGAGGAAACTAGACCCGTATAGTACAACTTCTCAGGTCACTCACAGACCTTTTTCAAGGTAAGTAGAACCCTTGCACTGGAAAGTTGATCCTTGGATCATGTTTTAAATTTTAATGTTCTTTATCTCACCTCACTCGAATGATTAACTAGGTATATAAATTTTCAGTTTTGAGTCAGGCTTATATTTTATAACAGGGCCACCGTACGATATTTAATTTAAAAAGTTTGTATTTTTGCACATAAACAATTCTTTTTACTCATAAAAAGCTGTTATGCGTGTTTTTATCATCATTCAATCACAACACCTTGCATAATGCATATTTTCATGATACTTCACAGTCGCCAGATAAGTGAAAATAATGCTCATATCTTCACTTTTCTCCTGGGAATTTATCATACGTAACAACAACAATTGTTTGTAATGATAGGTATGTGACTTCATGTTCATTTCAGTAATGAGTTATGCGGGTACCCACGCAAGGATATCGCTACCTACTGGGATTGCGAAGGTGTGCAATTAAATAAAATAGGGTATTTACAAATAGTATAGAGTATTCCACAGCTTTAGCAGTTACGAAAAGTAACACATCTCACCTATTTAAATTTATTGACGCCGAGAACCCCAATCTGAACAGTGAACTATGTATGATAAACCTCATTGCTTATTTCAAAGAGTTGTATCATTATTAACAAAATATCTCGTTGCAGGATACCCGAAAGCGTGGGGGCACGGAACGGACAACATCCAGCTGGTGAAAAACATCGGAAACAAGTCTATGGTAGACACCATGGTATTTCAAACAGAGATAGCGAGGCAGTTGAACCCAAATAAGGGAGTGCACGTGCCCCATAGTGGTATTAATATCTCTAGTGAGCGCCCTAGAGAAGTCAGAGTTCCTCCTGTACCAAGTTAGTTATAATATAAGTTACTTGCATAATGTGTAGTTGGATTTAATTATTAAGTTACAATTATTCAGAATTAATTTTTTAATTACCATTTGTGGTTGATCATAATCTCTACTTTTTGGTACAGGTATATTCAGAAATAAAGTTAGCTTTTTAGAGCATTTTTTCCATAAGTCTTTGATAAGTCTTGACCATTGAAAATGTTTTGCATTCTATAAGCTCTATCAAACCACAATTGTTCAAACCATCCGAAACCAATATTTAGGCTTATAACAAGCCCACATTTGCTTTACTTATACTATCCTTTGTTATGGAGATAGATGATTGCTTTAGCATTAGAAATAAACATCAACTTTAATGTGAATTGAAGTAATTTTGTTAGCGCTTTTCTTGTGTTTAGAAGTGGACAGGCTGTAGTGGCTCACTGCATAAAATGTTTTGCAAATCTGACCTCTCGAACAAATCAAAAATAGAATGAATGATTGTTAAAATTTGATTACTGTACTGCAATTACTGCAGCGGTCTTACTGGATGCTTTTTAAACACCCTTCTGTTCTTAGAAATTCACTATGTAAACTATTAAGCACGATCATGATACATATTTAAACCAACTTGCAAAACATGCTATTTGTACTAACATTTTATTAATTAAATAACATACGAGCCTATTTGCATACATAGATTGGTCGGGAGACCTAGATCTTAAACAAAGGTGTTTAAAATTTTATAAATAGTGTGCAATTCTGCATAAGATGCTTGACGAAAATCAGACAAATAATTCCAATAACATGCATTAATGGACCAGGACTGTCAAATATCCGAACTTACGACCTAATTTCTCGGATTGTTGCAGATTTGGGACAGGTTTTGTCAGATTAGGCTCATAAACGTGGGTGGCGACGACATAATGTTTAGGTCATTGCGCGCGTTGCTACTAGCAACTGAGACAATATCGCCACGATTTTGCTAAACTGAGTCCAAATATAGCGAAAGCGTATTAGAGTGCAGGTCTTTAGGTTTATTGCCTTAGCAACAGTCTTAACTTAGCAGTAAACAAGCCATACTCGTAATTATATGGCTGTTTACGAACTGAAACGTTTCAGGGTCGTATGCGGTTAGAACAGCGCCAATTCCGATAAGCTACCAGACAGCCAACAGTACTTACGGGACGATTCCACGATCTGTTCAAATCTTACAGAAGATGCAGGTAAAATTCACGGTGTCAAATTTTTTGAAAAATTGTTGTTGGTTACACTTCATCAGTGCAACCAATTTCAACTTTGGTGTAAGATAATATCAATTTGTAGTTGGTATTACATTTTTCAGTTGAACCAATACAAAATATTTCAGCGAGCACCACTTAATCTGACTGGATATAGGACGGACCCCGCAGCAAATCTCGAGCAAGTTACCGTCCCGTTGGTTCAATTTGCTTAAATTAGGATCAAACTTAGATGAAATACACTTGGAATTTTACGGAGATGAATTTGATTTTACGAGGACTAAAAACCGATTGAATTGACCTGATAAAACTTTAAAGCTGGAATATCGTTTATGTTAACTATAATATTGTGTCTGCAATGTGTTATGTCGATTCATAGCAGGTTTTAAAGCTCGTTGTTACCATCGAGTCATAAATAATTTTAGTCCGAATTTAGAGATTTTGTGAAATTTTTAATAGATTCGTGATCGTGAATACATTGTACAGCTATTTTTGAAGACAGATAGGTTTTTATTATTAAAATTTGCATGTTCTGATTATTATATAGATACAATTTTTCGTCGAGATATTCTTGTAACGATCGACAGAGTAAAGCTGTCCAGTGATTGAAATTGTGAATTTCAGAGCGGAATTGATAGTTAATAAGCATTTTTGTCAAGAAGTTGACCTCAGGCCACCAACTGTCAGCAATTTAGCAATAGATTTTGCATGACTAATCTAAGATATTGTAAAGTGCATGTGTCTGATTACAAGTTTGTTCACACTTTGAAAAAATCTCAGTTTTACTTGCTTAACTGATCCCTCTGAAAACACAATGAAACAATGGAATTATACCGGAAATAGGTATTGGTCACGTATTTTATTTCCGGTCAATATGTCATGAAAATATCAATCACGGTTTGGATATCAAGTTCATTCAACAATCAGTCCTATAATTTTAAAACCATTAGACGAAATTTATGAACATTCCTCAGTCCTCACTGTATTTTCTTCTTCACTATATTACATTATCACTTTTTGGAAAATTTGTACCACCCACTTCCTCTCCATAATCAGTTTTACTCGTGGCTAATGTGTCGAAATAGCGTGATCATTTAGAATACCCCCTCTGCAGTCAACAAAACACCGAATAAGTCACCGCAGTATTAACAGGCATGAACTTGATTAGAATTTTATCTTTGGTTTAGGGGGTATTCTGGGAGGTAGAAACGGCAAGGTAGGATGGTCGGGGGCGTCCGTCAGATCTGTGTTAGCGTATATTTCCTCGTCCTCCTCCATCTGAAATCATTTATAGTTTAATTGTAACATTTTGAGAAATCCGTCAGCTCACTTCAAGGACAGAAAGATCTTTTTGGGGAGCTGAGGAGAACAAAGTATGTAAATTTCACATCAATCACAGTCAGCCGCTTTAACATGGTTAACTACCATCCTGTACGTTGGCTTGTTTATCATATAAGCGGGATGGAAAGAACTTATCTCATTTCATTTCATTTCATAGCTTGTGCCTCTTATAAACAACCTGTGCGCTAGTTCAATCGTGTTAGCAACGCATCATACCTTAAACTATATACTTCAGATTCACTTTATTTGCATATTCCGGCTGTTGTTTGCATAATTATACTCACATTACTTGCAAATTCAGACTTTTATTTGCATATTTTGACTCACGTTGTTTGCATATTCTGGCTGTTCGCTGTACTCATCATTGAACTCGTCTATATCGTTATATATAGAATCGTCATCTTCTACTGTTACCGGAGGACCTGACAAGATATAAAGTCTTTAATGGTTTTCGGCAGAATCGATCGTAATATATGTGAAATATATAAATATGTGAAATTTTCAAAGATTCCTGACAGTCGAGATGTCATAATGTCTAGTCACACTCTACAAGATAAATTGCAACTTAATAATTAAACATGTACAATTACAGGGTAGTGTACAAAGAAATACCAAATATGGTCGTATATACAAAGAAGTAATCAAGTATTAAGGCTTTGACCCTATTTTCACGTACCATCAGTCGGCCTTGCTGGTTTAACTTTCTCCGGTTTCTGCCACCCAAACTTAATCCCTCCGCTCGATTTTGTGGAAGAGGGTTCTTTTGGCTTTTTTACTGGAGCAGGGGTAGGAACAGAAGTTGGTCGTGAAGTAGGCGCCGGAGTTGGGCGACCAGTTGGGGCAGGAGTTGGGCGGCCTGTCGGGGCAGGCGTAGGGCGACCTGTTGGGGCAGGCGTAGGGCGGCCTGTTGGGGCTGGGGTTGGGCGAGACGAAGGGGTGGGAGTTGGTCGGCTGACAGATGTTGGATGAGCCGAGTGAATAGTGGGAGCAGGGGTGGGAGCTTTGGGTCGTCCACTAGGTGCAGAAATGAGGGTTATAGGTCGCCCACTTGGTGTTGGGACGGGAGAGGGTACAGCAGGGCGCCCCGAGGGAGCAGGAGTTGGACGGCCCGGAGAAGCTGGGACAGGTCTGCTTGGAGCACTGGTCTGAACTTCAGCGATATTCTCCATCGGAGGTGGCCCATCCACTCTGAAATTTTGAATTGCGTGATTTTGATTATCAAGTATGATCATTCGCTAACATTCGAACTCTTCACAGCAGTTTAAAAACTGTTACAGTAAGTTTTTGAGTTATACACACTGCAGTGTACAGCTGCAGTGTGTATAAACTACAGATTAATAATTCGTACCAGATGCACTGTTAATCAGCTGCTGGAATGCAAAGGGAGCTGATTTTTGAAGGTAGCCATAGTTTTAGAAGGCTACCGGACAACTTCACCCAATTTATCCTTTTCCTTAACTGGGTAGCTTGAGAAATTAATTATAATTAGTTTACCTAGTTAACTTTGGAACGACGGTTCTTTTGCGATAGTGTAACTGTAAACGCAATAACTAGCGCTGCATAGCGCTAGATGGCGCGATCAAGCGCCAACTAGCGCGACAATTTCACCCAATCACAATGCTGGCAAGCATGACCGTGCCTCTTATATTCACAATACTATTTATTTTTAACCCCTTTACTATTTACCCCCTTTACTATTTACCCCCTTGACTTTTATACCCCCTTTACTATTATACCCCTTTATTGTTTTTCAGGCATTAAGACTCATCGAAAGTAGTTCAGCAGGTATATTTATATTCAAAACATTCTAATTTAATGTTAAATATGACAGGAATAAGAAATAGTTATGTAAAGGTTTTTAAGAAATTTGCGCAAAATACGCGCCAGCATGTTATACGAAATTTGGTAAAAACCCCAAAATCGCCATATTCAGGTGCCTTGAAAACCATGTTAAAATTGTGTTAGAGATCTGAAAATTTGCAGGGCGTCTAGACGTTGACCAAATCGACTGCAAAAAAAGTTTCAAGTTTCAGGAGCATCGGGAAATGGGTTTTCTAGAACCCCTGTTTTACGACAGATTGTCGGGACATATACAGATAATATACATATATATTCAGGGATAGACGCTTTGCCAGTCAATTATAGGCTATATTCAGGTGTCCGTATATTCAGAAGCTTTAAAGATACAGCCATCTCGGACCACAGGTCTTGAAGATAATTGTTTAGACTTTAGTTTACATTATATTAAAAAGTAATTTAACGTCATCATTACCACTTGATGACGTCATCAAGTTAACCATTTAAAAAACCTGTTTTTTTACAAAGTAATCACTTTTAAAATCGATTTTACGCCATTAAAGAGTAATTTTATTCAAAATTTGAGGGCATAATGAAGTTAGATAATTGTTTAAGCATTCTGAAAATCTACCGGAAAGTTTCCCTACCTTGCTCCTTCATAAAGATATTTGCCATTGAAGTTAGTGATTTTTTGAAGAATTATTTTATAAAAACTTCAATTTTGCGATTTAGTATTCTCTGGTGTTGGGCTATCCCTTGAGTTGTGGAGCTCAGTTCTGCTTCTTATAGGTATAAATTGTGCATTAGGCTAGTTTTAAAGTTAAAAATCGAAAAGATGCACACGTGGGGACACGCCCAAATTGATTAAAAATTGCTAAAATCACTGAAAATTGCTGTTTTTACCATTTTCTGTAAACTTTGGTGTGCCGTGGTGATTACAGTTCTACTTGAAATACTTTAAAACTTTGCATGCTTATCAAACTATATATAAAACACCAACACGCAAAAATTTACGGCGATTCAATATTGGATGCGCACGCAACGTCCGCTCATAGTTTGCACGTGCGAAAGGTGATAATTTTGCTCATTCGTTGTTCGTGATTTCGAACAAATTTTGCTTTACCACGACAGTTCAATGTCATTATATATAAATTTAATGCCAACTTGAATGAGTATAAAGTGGCAAATTCAGTCAGTGATCGACCCAATGCTTACCCAAACACAAGGAAATGTTTTCAAAGGAAAAATTTCGAAATCGTTGAAACTTCCTTCTTATTAATGAAGATATCAGTTTATACATTATATTTCGACTTTATAAAGTACCCTGACATTAATCAAAAAGAGATGATATTTGACCAAAACCCATAATCATGGGTAGAGTGGACCGTTGCCAGTATCTCTCTTTCCCAAACAAAAGGAAATGATATTAATTTTATTGACCGTTTTCAAATGCAAAATGATACCGAGAATGAAATCGGTAGCTCGCTTTTCCCATTCATTTACAATTGCAAATGTAATAGATTAAGAAGAACTACCATACCCGAAGATAGCTGTACTCGGCAATAAAGATTCAATTAACTTCAGCTAATTCACTAACTACCACCCTTATCCCGAAATACTAGGTAACGACCCGAACGCAACCCAAATAGATTATTACAGCATACAGTGATCGATGTAATTTATCGAAACCTATTACAATTCGTATAACTATAAGCCGTGAATGAATGGGAAAAGCGAGCGACCGATTTCATTCTCGGTATCATTTTGCATTTGAAAACGGTCAATAAAATTAATATCATTTCCTTTTGTTTGGGAAAGAGAGATACTGGCAACGGTCCACTCTACCCATGATTATGGGTTTTGGTCAAATCATCAATAGAAATTTAGAGTTCACTTATATTACACGGACACTCCTTATGTAGTTTTCGAAACATCTGAGCTGTATAACAAGCGTACTAAGATCACGTGACGTCTCAGGTGCATTTCCAGCACGAGATCTAAGCTAACAACTTAACAAGCATACCGGCGTACGTGCGTTCAGGAAGCATGCCAAAAAAAGGATGCGATCCAAAGCATCAAGAGGTTGTCGTAAAATTATCATAATATGACCTGGGTGAAGTTGTCGTTTTGGGATTTAAGCTGATTGGGTACCCTATTAACTGTGTGTGAACTAGGTCAAATTGGGTGAAGTTGTCGGTCACCCAACACTATCAAAGAGTCACGACCAGTGTAGAAGCCAATTAACTAGGTATAGATATATTAAACCAGTTTCCCTATTGCAATGTTTAATTGTTGTATTTACTTAACATTTCAATCAGTTTCGCAAATTTCTTCAGTTATTTCAGTTGAGTGATTGCGGAACGGACATAATTTGAACTGACATTAAAATGAAGGCTGGAAGACATTCAAAACCATTAAAAATCCGAAATTTTTTCATATTTTTGAGCGTTTTTTTGTTCAACTAAACATCGGTGAGCCGTGAGGTATAACAGAACCGTATAAAATGAGTACCGTGTAATCTCTATGCGATGTTTGTTGTCTTGAGATTTCTTCTTAATCAGAGGAAGATGAAACCCCTCCTTCTTCTTTTTCTCCTGTTTAATTAACTCCTCTGGTTTCTTGATCTCCATCAGATTAGCTTTCTTTAGATTGCTCAGCTCCTTAACGTTATCCGGACTAATTTTACCTTCCTGTTAAAAGTAAACGTATTGGGGACTCAAGGCTAACTTAATGCTTAGCTATAGTTGGGTCAAACTCTTCCGTTAAATAGTTTGGGAGATTAAAGTGGCCCAAGGGAAACAACCCAAAAATAGTCTAAACGGTTAGTGGATCTACTTCTAGTGATCTATCACAACTGGGCTATAAGTTTAAGGATAGCAATAGCATATCAATTTTCAAGGCGCCCCATAATCACTCTTTTAAAACTCTCATCTGCCGTTTGAAATAAATTCAGCAGATGGGTACGAGACGCAAGCTGATTTCATGATGGCAGGCGAATTAAGGGATTGATCATTACGATCATTAGTATTTTTTAAAAGTTTTAAAAGAGAGGTTGGGCCAAGATAGCCCACGAGAGGATAGCATTGAGATGTTCTACCTACCTCTGGGGTGTGGCAACCCTGGGGAAGGTTGCCGGTGAAATCAGAGTGAATTGTGGAGGATGGTGTAAAAAGTAACATGATCAGTCAAGATGATACGCTAAAGTGCCAGATGGGTTTGGAAAAGTAAAATGAGACGAGACAGCTTATGAGTCAATACTCTAAGATCATTAGTATGTATTTCAATTTCTTTCAAATATTTACAAATTCGCTTTTATTTTTGCCCAATATCTGACTTAATCTTAATATTAATAATGAATAAGGTACTAATGTATTAGGGACTAATGTATTAAAGGTTTCTGGTGTATTACAAATTTCCAAAACTTTCAAACAATCAGTCCTCACAATGACCTCAAACTAGTTTTCTGAATATCTAAATTATTAACATTATTCGTAAGATTGATATTTTCTGAATCACATAATCTCCAGATAAACCCGAGCTCTATACCTATTGTCTTTATTCACTTACAGTTACATATAGTGTTACACAACATATTTGTCTCTGTTCCTCCCACGATATCAGGAAAACAGAAAGCAGCGCATATTTAGAATGGGTCCATAAGAACAAAGGAATATATCAAGTTAAACTGTATTGAACCTAATTCAATACGGTTTCAGATCATGATAATAAATTTGGTGATCAGTACACTTACAGAGGTTTTATTTTGCTGTTGTATCTGTTTGAACACTGACCCGTTAAAATCTGCTATTGCTGAACCTCTTGCTCCGAGACCGATGAGTATTATCATTAGAATATCGTCATTAAAGTGGTGTGGTGTGTAGATCAAAAGCCTCGTGGAGGAAAAGACACATTTTACATCAAAGGTTCACCCCCTTTATAACACTGCCCGACCGGCGACCTCTAAACATAAACATAAAATGCTCGCTCGCTCGTACGATATTAAATTGCACCGCTACAAAACACTGCCACTTCCTGACTGTCAGGGTTAAGTATAATTGGAATTTCTTGCCCAACATCGCCAGTCGCCACGAGTATGTTATAAACAGCGGAGATAAAGATAGCCGATAAACTACGAGCCTTAATTAACAAACCAGAAATGGTTTTGCTTCGAGTATACCTGATAACCCGCCGGAGTTTACTTCTTAGGACCGGTTTAGTTTCAGCGTGTTGGTTAGTTTCCGGGCCGGTCCAGCAGTGTGGCAGCTTTAATGTGTATAACATAGTGTTTATAATTAAGTAATTAGTGTCAGGTGTTTTATTTACCTGTTTGCTTTCATTATTTTGTTCGACATCCATGCGGTAGGTCTTAATTTTTATAATAACTAATTTTATAGAATTATTGCTATTAGCGATTTTACAGCTATTTTAGACTGCGATTACGTGTGACTAACATTAACTGCTCTTTTCTGTTTATCTTACAGTTACTCTGAGAGGTTTTCTTCAATAAATTAAACAACCATATAAGGTAACATGATAACACTACCATATAAGGTAGTTGTACCTGTCCGTTAGCCACGTTTACCCCAGTCCAGACTCTCCCAGTCTGAGCGGTTATGCTCAGTTTGTCTCCCATCCCTAAAGTCAGGTATCCGTTACCTCCGGGGTAATTCTGAGAAGTGAGGGATGTTAGTTTGCTTCGAATTTTATTACCTTTGGTTAAATTATTATGACGGGCATATATCCGAGGTTTAATTAATGGTCAAGGACTTAAATATGGCAGTATTTCTATAACTATTCGCCAAAATAATGTGAAAGTAATTCAAAGTATATTGGTTCATTATTTTCCAGCTTTTATTGAGGACAGATTAAGCTTTCATAATCATTTGTTTATAACTGCAAACTAATAAGTGCTACTATCGTAAAAACTGTAATATAATAATCCTTAAGCTGGCTGTGATCTTAAACAAAATGAGTAATAACTAGCCGTGATGGATACGTGAGTAAAGTCGGTCGATTCCGCCAACTTCACCCTTGCTTTCCCATCTTCCTGAGAAACATATTGATTGAAATCTGTTCCGTTGCACTTTCACGTTATCAACCTACAAGAAGTAATCTACGAGAGGTTTAGAAATCGATCAAGAGAAATCTTTTGAAGTAACTAAAGATCCACAAATATATAGGGAGTAGCTGATTTGATTAAACGCAGCATTCACGTTATCATGTATTCATGGATAAGCTGCAGTTCGTAAGGCAGTGCTTCATATAACAACTTCTACAGGTCAACATACAAACTGTTGTACTCCTTCAAAGGTCAGGGTGCTGTTTTCTTTGCTGAGTTTGCCCAACATCTTAGCGTCTCTCATGTACTTCTTCTTGCCAAGATTGTCCACCTTTGTTTTGAGAGGAGCGAAGAGGAGACTCTTGTCAAGGTCTATGTAGGTTACCTTACTGTTCTTTCTCTGGGAGTTTATGTAGGCAATGTTATTGATTTTTCTAGATGCAGGATTGATATATTTTCAATTAAATTGTAATCAAGTCATCTGATCAGTACCACCACTATCATCAAATTAAATTAATTACACAGGGCCATGAAACAAGTAATATTCACCGTACACTATTACTACTCTACAAGTGGTCGTCATTATAAATGAACCATGTTGCTGACTAATCTGGATATTGTAAAGTATTACCCCTCCCTCTTCCCTCTTATCCCTCCTTACCCTCCACCCTCCCTCTCCCCTCTTATCCCTCCTTACCTCCACCCTCCCTCTCCCCTCTTATCCTTCCTAATTACCCTCCGGCCTCCACCCTCCCTCTCCCCTCTTATCCCTCCTTACCCTCCACCCTCCCTCTCCCCTCTTATCCCTCCACCCTCCCTCTTCCCTCCTTACCTCCTTACCTCCTTACCTCCACCCTCCCCTCCCCTCTTATCCCTCCTTAGTCCTTACCCTCCACCTTCCCTCTCCCCTCTTATCCCTCCTTACCCTCCACCCTCCCTCTCCCCTCCTCCCCAACTAAAAATGTTTACTACAACAGTCTCACAGTTTAGTAACTTTACCTACATTAGTAGTAATAGCAGAGAAAAGCTCGTCAATCTGAGCGGCGTGCCTAAAATTCGGTTCCGTACTAACAGTGACACGTGCAGCATCTATCCAGCTAATAGCTAGGTCTTGTGAGTTTGTTTTGTTCAAGGCGTAGGCACAGTTGTACTCGCACATCGCCTTGTGGAGCTTGAACCGCATGCCAAGCTGGGCGTAGCTTACCTCACTACGGATCTTGAACTGCTGCGATGCCTAGGAAAGAAATAATTGTAGGCTGTGATGGAATCAGAATAGCAGAATTTTCAACTTACCGTTATTTTTTAGCATTATTCGGAATATAAATTTTGAATAATTTGATATATTGCATATAATGTTTTGCACAATATTTGTTTTTTGCACCCGTTTGCTTATTTTTGTATGTAAAAATTCAGCCTCTGGTATCAAGTAATAGTATTAGTATTTTGGTAATAGCTATAACTTTTGACGTTTTAGGTGCTCTAGAGATTGCACCATCTAAGGTATTTGCTCGTTGATCCTTGATTACCATGGATCGTTTAAAAAAAAGTCAAGTGTCTGCACATGGATTGTTGCACCTTGTAGTTGTCTGGTAGCCTATAATTGCCTATATGATATGTGTTTACTGTTTTAGCACCTTAGAGTGAACTCTCCAAGACTTTGGTATGTGGTGGGAAGCAAGACGGGGTACTGAACCTAAAGTGTTTATACCTAAACCAATTAAACTGGTGATCACGTGAGCCATCATCAGCTAATAGCTCGTCACTTAACTGCAGTTTGATTTAGAGAAATGCGCAATACCATTGCCGCGATATTTGCGTTTTTTGCGTTACTCTACAATAATACGCCTTTAAAAATAATATAACAATAGATCGTACGGTTTTAGATGAACAATCTAAAAGATACATTACAGTACATTAATAATTAATGGGCCCGGGAAAGTTGTTGACATTAAATGTACAAGAACCCACCATCTTACACCTATGGTTATACATTATACAATGTATAAAAAACATCTGAAAAAATGTTCGATTAATTCTGAATCACGCAACACAGTGAGTCTCAGTCATGAAGTAAAACTAAAATGTTTGGAATTTCTTACTCGTTCAAAGTGTCCGGGTGCTTCTTGTGCTTTTCCTTTAGCCTCTAAACAGATGATACCTGCAAGTTAGCTGTTTTAAACAGTGTTTATTGCAAATCTAACTAAGTCTAACCGTAATAAACTCTAACCTGAGATGACAGCCATGTAAACCTTCCAGCTTTAACGTTGACATTAAGTCTTAACGGCTGGTGCACCTACGTCATACACTGTAAACCGCTTACCCTTTTCACCAATAAAGTACAATTTTACTGATAATAACTTATTCGCCGACCACATATTTTCTTCCACATATTTCTCCTGAAGACAATGCCGTGCTGCAACTATGTTCTAAACCTAATAAAAGCTTGGAGACGATACAGATCAAACAAAAGAAAATAATTGCCCTGTGCTCAGAACAATCTATAAACATATTGCTTGGGAAATTTTCTTGTGAAATGAACTGTGTACTTCAGAATGTTTCTTAATCTGCATGTTTCTAAAATGCATAATATAATGCAAATAGGCTATATTTGATGTCATTATTCTAATGCTTTATCTTTTAAATCGAAAGATTTTCTTTCTTTACGTAATTTCTTGTTCGTCAGATTTTATTGAAAAACTAATCTATAAGACCGCATTATCAATAATTTGTCAAAAATCACTAAAACAAATTGTGGATCTACTAAATAGGTTGGTTCAGGTTGACGGCTGTGCCAAACTGTGAGCTGCTTAATTTTACAATTTTAAACAGAAAATTTTTTATTATTTCCTGCCGACTAAATTACCGCTGATAAAGTGAATTGTATAACACTGAATAAATCGTAAATACTGAACTGATAGGGACTGTATAAGTATTGGAAGCCTGTAATGTGTAATGTCTATCTTATCTTTCAAATATAAAATGCTGTATACCTAATTGAATTTTCCACAAATGTATGATAAAGGTGCAGCTACAGCCTACGTTTAATTGGTATTAGGAGATAAAAAGGTTAAAATGACGACCATTGCAATTTTCTGAATCTCTTGCTAGTCGAAAGTGAAGAAAACAGCAGCATTAGTGATTTTTGATAAATTTCTGGTTGCAATTTATTTTCCGGAGTTTTGTTCTTATAGATATAGGAGTAGCTGCGCACTTTCAAACTGCAAGGGATGAGTACGAATAAGTCCCCGCTGCTTGTAACCTCTGATGGTCCAGAATCTCGTGGTTATTACGGTTCTTATCCGATAAACCGGGATGAACTACACGATTATTCTATATTGGTAAGCAGATTTCTTGTTTAACAGCACAATTATTTTAAACAATAATTATACAATATATGAAGGAATCACATTTATTTGATATTATCATGGATGATGACAGGTCGACCATTGTAAGGCTGGACCTGGTTGGTTCATAACTATAAGAGGATAGCATAAAGATGCTTTGCCTACCTCTTGGATGTGGCATCCCTCCAAGGAGATGATGCCGGAGAATTCTATGTGAAAATGAGGGGGGTACTAAAAGTTACAAACTTACCCAACAGAAAGTGAGCGACAGCTAGATGAGGGTCATGTTCTATTACACTCAGTAAAGCTTGGTAAGCACCTGTTAGGTCACCCATAGCTCTACACACTACTCCTATACTGTACAGCGTCTGTAGGGATATTATACAGTGTCACAATCTTCTTTATAGTGTCACAATCTACTTTATAGTGTCACAATCTACTTTATAGTGTCACAATCTACTTTATAGTGTCACAATCGACTTTATAGTGTCACAATCTACTTTATAGTGTCACAATCTATTTTATAGTGTCACAATCTGTTTCATAGTGTTACTATTTCATGTTATAATTTTAAGACTTACACTGAAATTTGACAGTAAATGTTTTCAAAACGTTCGCTCAAATATACTTGACCAAAAAGGGTAAAACAAATTGTAAGCTACCTCATAAGATTTAAGTTGACCAGGATTTAATAAAATCACAGACCACAGTAAATACTACCATCCCACACAATATTAATATCATATGTACCTTAATATTATCTTTTTTTAAATGCTTTCAACACTACTATGTATAACAAATTATAAATGTCACTGAAGATGACAACATGTTTGACGATAGCCTGTAAATTGATAATTTGATCTCAGTATTTACAACAAATCAGCTTGATTGATTCAAAGGGAGAACAAAATTCCTCTGTTTCATACCTTAGCTGTTTGATGGTCGTCAGGAATGCTCCAAAGAGCAGAAAAAGCTCCATTATAATCCTTCTCCTGGAACTTGGTCACACCCTCCTGCCAAGTCGATATAGTGTCTTTGTTCAGTGATGCCATGACCAACTCCTCTACACTGATAATACCCAATTTTTTCTGCTCTGTGCACCCTTCAGCGCTACGAGGGGAATAGTATAAGAGTTAATTTAGACATTAGAAGATTTAGATACCTAACGACTTGCCTAATGCCTATCGATACAATGCCGTGGAGGGGGAAGGGTAAAAGTTTAGTAGGCCCCGAGCCTTTCATTATTCATGTGGGCTCCCAATTCCCATAAACAACACATCCTAGTAAGAATCTAGCCCCTTTAAATTTCTCATCATTCCCACAATTGTTGTTTGATATGTCTCGCGACTCGGTAGATCAGCACATTCATTAATAATTTATGTAAGTTACGGCCGGACTTTTGGATCACCCTATAGAAGATTATGATTTGACGATCAATAACAAACATTTGACTCTTGGGGAAATTAATCAAGGTTTCACAGGAAAAAAAGTTAATAAAATCGTACGTGCACAACGTAATATCTACGAACAGAAAACTATAACTAGTGCAGTAAGTTCACGCAACATGGTCGTATTATACAAGGTAGGTACTGGCAGCTGGCAAAACCATGTTTATTATTGTTGTATCGTTATACACACATACAGTCTTGATGTTTACTCACATGATGAATAATGCGACTGAATATATTTCTAAATCATGTATTTGATGACCAGTACTTCTATAGTCAGGAACTAATCTGATTAACTTGTACAGTGGGGTGTCATATAAATTATAATAAATTCCTTATTTCTGGTCGTTGATTAACAATTCTTATGGTTTTTACATTAATGAGTTAGGAAATTAGTTAGGTATCGGCACCACACACAACGTTCCGTTTAACTTAATGATTGGTGCCGGCTAGTATTACCTCACTGCTGATCAACCAAGGTGACATGTTAGAGATGGTCATTAATAATAGCTTCATGGCTGAACCTGATTGATTCTATGAAGAAAACGCAACATTTTCCTGAAAAAGCACCCAGACTTTTTGATTACTTCGCTAATTTCTTTAATGTGTTATTAAATTTTGTTCCATTTGGTCAGAGATTATATTACTACATCTTCTTATTTAAGATTTAGAAGAGATGTAAGCAAAACTGCTCCTAGTTCAAGGAGAACTTATATTGCCAATCTAGGACTTAACTAGGACTAACTATCGGTGAATCACGAATTTTGTTTATTGATCCCAGTATCTTGTTATGTTCATTACGCTGATTTCCAGTAGCATACTCTTTAAGAGAACATTTAATTCTATGGTGAGATCATGTTCATGTCACGTACAAGCCGTCTCCCCGCAGAAAGGTTTGGTCGATTATTCCCAATGATCCCAATATAGTTTAGATATGTGCGGTTTAAAAATATCTTACTCCATTTCACTTACCTCCGTGCTGTGGTGTACCCTAAACTGCTGGTATCTATTAATTGGTATTAGTAATAATCCCAAGGTGTTTATGAACACTGAATCCTGAGATCCCCAGGTGTTTATGAACACTGAATCCTGAGATCCCCAGGTGTTTATGAACACTGAATCCTGAGATCCGCAGGTGTTTATGAACACTGAATCCTGAGATCCCCAGGTGTTTATGAACACTGAATCCTGAGATCCCCAGGTGTTTATGAACACTGAATCCTGAGATCCCCAGGTGTTTATGAACACTGAATCCTGAGATCCCCAGGTGTTTATGAACACTGAATCCTGAGATCCCCAGGTGTTTATGAACACTGAATCCTGAGATCCCCAGGTGTTTATGAACACTGAATCCTGAGATCCCCAGGTGTTTATGAACACTGAATCCTGAGATCCCCAGGTGTTTATGAACACTGAATCCTGAGATCCCCAGGTGTTTATGAACACTGAATCCTGAGATCCCCAGGTGTTTATGAACACTGAATCCTGAGATCCCCAGTTGTTTATGAACACTGAATCCTGAGATCCGCAGGTGTTTATGAACACTGAATCCTGAGATCCCCAGTTGTTATGAACACTGAATCCTGAGATCCGCAGGTGTTTATGAACACTGAATCCTGAGATCCCCAGGTGTTTATGAACACTGAATCCTGAGATCCCCAGGTGTTTATGAACACTGAATCCTGAGATCCCCAGGTGTTTATGAACACTGAATCCTGAGATCCCCAGGTGTTTATGAACACTGAATCCTGAGATCCCCAGGTGTTTATGAACACTGAATCCTGAGATCCCCAGGTGTTTATAAACACTGAATCCTGAGATCCCCAGGTGTTATGAACACTGAATCCTGAGATCCGCAGGTGTTTATGAACACTGAATCCTGAGATCCCCAGGTGTTTATGAACACTGAATCCTGAGATCCCCAGGTGTTTATGAATCCTGAGATCCTGAGATCCCCAGATAATCAAATTTGACTCTGACAAACTTGACATATTGTTACGTTTAATATGTCTTCACCTGTCCCGGGACGGTCAATATAGAGCAATCAATCGCAATAATTCGTGATCATTTGACCATTCCTAGAATCTCAGATTCTGGGAATCGATTGAGTTGTAGTATATATAATATTAATATAGTGGACAGGAGTATTTCTAAGGAACTTTGCCTGTTAAATAAATCTATTAATACCTACGCCCGTATAACTTGGCCTCTTAAGAGAACAAAATATATACTTATATTACGAATATGTGGATATTGGAGAAACGTCTTGGAATATTCCGATTCTCTACTGTGTCTACCATATCTGATATCGGCCCTTTTACGAACGGCCCCTTATTTTAGAAATTTGCTCTTTATAATGTTCACAATTTTGGTTACTCAATGTGTCCAACCATAATTTAGGATCACACAATTTTTTACAATACATCCATGCTTCTTTGCGTTTATGAGGATCACGACGTGAGACAACCTTATTGCAGACATTATTTAACCGGACATTGCGTTAACAGACATAATTCTGAACGGACATTAAAATGAACGCTAGGGTCTCCAGCGTCCAATTGATGTTCGTTCAAATAGTCAGCTCACTTAATAATAATAATATTGAATACAAAAAATTCGTTAGATCCTTCCTTGTCCTTTCTGGTAACTGATAAACAGGTCCTCAGTCAGCCATGGCTGACTGAGGACCTGTTACCAGACACTGACAGGACAAGGAAAGATCTAACGAATTTTTAAAATTGAATAGTTATCAGTTCTGAGCGACGGTGAACGATCACTCAATTATCATTAAAGACGTTCCTAAATATGATCACTTGATTTTTGACGACGCCGGTCTTCTTACCGGTCTTCTTAGTTTTGAACGATTCTTTGAATCTTTGTCTTATTGTTTACGCACCTGTTTTCTCAATCGATGAGATTCTATTGTTATAATCGGTATTTGCTCCAAATAAATAATTTTAAATCTTCAAATTTACATTTTTAATAATCTAACCATTCAATTTCAAATCTCATCTTTAATTTGTAATCGTAAAATTGATATTTTGGATAGCCCAATTTTTCCTTGATTAAGTCTAAAAATTTAAATTTGACACTTTCATAACATACGAGTGACGATAGACGCTATAATATTTGAAACTATATGTAAAATACCAGGGTCTAGGTCATTCGCCCGGCACATATAAGTGAGCTCTTTGCTCTATTGGGCCAGTATTAAGCTTTGTTGGCCACCTGTTATATATAGTGTAACAATTAGCCTCAAAAACAGGTCTCCCCAAACCACACCAACGTAATTCGTGATGATCTTGTCTCTAGTTCTCCCTTTCATGGTCAAGTACCCTACATGTGTGTAAATATTTAATCGTTACATCCCTATCCCCCTCCCCGGCCCCAATCCCGTCCCCTTACCGTCCCTTGGCCACCGATCAGACTAATCCACTGAACCATCAGACTGAATTAACATTTTCATTGTTCCAATCAGGTGAGCATTGAGCAAAGGACTAATGATTAGTTATAAGCTCACCACGGTCCATATAGACCTGTAATCTATATTTAGTGCAAATTATAAGGTTTAAAACTACATTTAATTTTTGGAGCTCTCTGTTTTGTGGTGGTTGTGTTCCTCAAAAATCACTATTAGTTACCACCTGCTCCCTCTTCACATACCTCCCCCCCCCCCCATTTACCCCCAACTATACTGTAGCGCGAGTTCATCAGATTACATCCAGTTTAGCAACAACATGATAGAGCTTGTTAGTCCTTAGTCCATGTTAATTTACTTCACTTCCACTATAATAACGTACCGCACGTGTGTGCTGACTGCTGTGCCATATAGTGCACCAAATTTAACCATGATTATCACTTCTGCACCATGTGTACTGGTACTACACCCAGTTCCACTGCTTCTACCATTACTTCAGACTAGCTAGCCAGCAGCCGTGTATTTGCATTTTGAAATCCACATGCTCTTGTTTGGCCATACTGCAGGGAATGTGTGGCCCCTGGGCCCCAACACACGAGATCTTTAGCTGCTCCTCAGACAGTGGCTAATGCTATGTGGTGATGAGTTTGCAGTTCCAGTGGCTGAATTAGGCCCTAATTACTATAGGTTCAGGGTACTTATCATTGGAAATTGGCCATAAGTATACCGTCATGATATGGCCGCTGTGTTTATAGTGCCAAGTGCTATTATAATAGGACCATGTGGGCCACACGGAGGTGTTTTTGTAGTTTATAGGCTTCTTGTGTGCTGGACAAGGGGTATTATTGTGCTCAGTTGTGCTAGAGTTAGTTTAGTTGTTTTTGTGATGATTATAATATAATCGCAGTTCAAACGATTGGACGATCGTTTATAAACGAAATTTTACAGTGGGGTGCCATATGTTTTCATCATTTCTGAATGCGTGCGAGTTTGTGTCCACGTCACGTGATATTGTTAGCAGTGAGTGTAATTACGAGTCTGAAAAATTTGTCTAGTACAAGGCCCAGACCCTTTGGCGTATCTATAGTAAATATTGTGGCGATGTAACATCTCTGACACCACTTAAAACTGAGGAACAGGGTGTTCACAATATCCAACTCAGCATAGTAAACTTATGATATCTCTG